GGATGCTCTTCCGGGTGCGGGCACACAACGTGGCCGGGCCTGGGGCCCCCGCCACCACCAAGGAGCCCGTGACGGTGCAGGAGATCCTGCGTGAGTGCCCCTGCGGCCACAGGCCCTGCCCCTGGCCCTGGAGGAGGGGACAGTGAGACGGGCCCTCCTTGGGGAGGAGCTGCATGCTGGGCAGGGACAGGGGGGCGGGAGCCTTCACCCAGGCCCCGGGCGCAGGGCAAACCCGTGCGGAGTGTCCTCTTGGCTCCCAGTCTGGGCAGGGAAGGCGCAGGCCATTGTGCCATCCTGGGCCCTGGGAGTCTCGGCTCCGGCAGGTAGATCTTGTCCTTGTGCTCAGGACTGAGCAGTGATGCCACGTGGGGTCAAACTGACCCCTCTGGGCCTCCCGTGCTAACGGAGGATCCGCTGTGTGTAAGGACTGGTTCTCACGGTGGAAAGACGGCAGACGGGGTGGGCACAGGGTCCAAAAGCCTGTGTGCCCTCCAAGGCGTCGCACACCCTCTCTGACCCCTGCCTCCCGCGGCGGCGTGGTGAGGCTCAGGGGGAAGCAGGTGCTTTGTGAACCCCGTGGGGCTGGGTTAGGGGAGCTAGAGGAGGGGACCCCAGGGAGCAGCCCTTTTCCAGCTGCAGCTCTGGCCCTGCCTCAAGAGAGAATGGAGCTGTGGCTCCCCTCAGGCCTCGGGCTGGGGTGGCTCTTGCTGAGCCGCCCACTCCGCACCCACAGAGCGGCCACGGCTCCAGCTGCCCAGGCACCTCCGCCAGACCATCCAGAGGAAGGTCGGGGAGCCCGTGAACCTCCTCATTCCTTTCCAGGTAGGGCCGGCCCCTTCTCTGTCCTGCTGCGCGCGGCTCATGCCTCGCAGACAAACGTGCCCCAGGCTCCCCGGAGCCCTCACCTGGGCCCGGGAGGCGGGGGTGGCCGGCTCCCAGGGGGAGCCAGGCTCGGGGATGAGCTGACCCTTCCCACAGGGCAAGCCCCGGCCGCAGGTGACCTGGACCAAAGAGGGGCAGCCGCTGGCTGGAGAGGAGGTGAGCATCCGCAACAGCCCCACGGACACCATCCTCTTCATCCGGGCCGCCCGCCGCGCCCACTCCGGCACCTACCAGGTGACCCTGCGCATCGAGAACATGGAGGACAAGGCGACCCTGGTCCTGCAGATCGTGGGTGCGTGGCCCTGAGGGCCCCTCTGGCCCGGGGGCTGCTGGGCCCCGGCTGGCGGGGCGATGGGCCTGGAGCAGGGTGTGGGGTCCTATTGGGTCTGTCTCCTGCAGACAAGCCGAGTCCTCCCCAGGACATTCAGGTCACAGAGGCGTGGGGCTTCAATGCGGCTCTGGAGTGGAAGCCGCCCCAAGACGATGGCAACACAGAGATCTCGGGGTACACGGTACAGAAAGCAGACCAGAAGACCATGGTGAGCCTGGGGCCCGCCCCCACGCACCCCTCCCAGGGCCCGGCGGACTCCACTGCCCTGAGGATGGGCCCACCTCTCACCCTCCGTGATCTGGTCCTCTGCGCTGTTGGGGTGCAGACACCAAGGGTCCCCGAGAGAGGCCCCTGGTAGGGAGCAGGGCCCGCCCCCAGCCCCAGAGACCCCCTCTCCACACGCAGGAGTGGTTCACGGTCCTGGAGCATTACCGCCGCACCCACTGCGTGGTGTCCGAGCTCATCATCGGCAACGGCTACTTCTTCAGGGTCTTCAGCCACAACATGGTGGGGCCCAGTGACAGAGCCGCCACCACCAAGGAGCCCGTCTTCATCCCCAGACCAGGTGCCGGGCCCTCACTCCCACCCCTTCCCCGGGGGGGGGGGGGCAGGCGGGCATCCGGGGTCAGGGAGGGGAGACGGGGGGGGGGGGGGGGAGCCTGGCTGGGCGCAGCCCTCTGGGTACGAAACGCTGTCACCGCCAGGCATCACATACCAGCCACCCGACTACAAGGCCATGGACTTCTCCGAGGCCCCAAGCTTCACCCACCCCCTGGTGAACCGCTCGGTCATCGCCGGCTACAATGCTACTCTCTGCTGTGCCGTCCGGGGCAGCCCCAAGGTGGGGAACGCAGGCCCAGGTGCTGGCAGGGCGGGGGGGGGGAACAGAGCTCTGGCCTCGAGGCGTCCCCTTCTCTCCGCCTCTCCCCAAGCAGGGCCCTCTGTTCCCAGCCTTGGTCAGAGTTTGGGGCTCCAGGGGTAGCCCCCGGTGGCGTAGAAACACAAATGCCCGTCTCCCTCCGTTCCTGCCTGGTCCTCTCACCCTGAGAGGCTCCCTCCTTCCCGCTGTCTGACTTCTAGCCCAAGATTTCCTGGCTCAAGAATGGCCTGGACCTGGGCGAGGACGCCCGCTTCCGCATGTTCAGCAAGCAGGGCGTGCTGACCCTGGAGATCCGCAAGCCCTGCCCCTATGACGGGGGCGTCTACGTCTGCAGGGCCACCAACCTGCAGGGCGAGGCGCAGTGCGAGTGCCGCCTGGAGGTGCGAGGTGAGGAGCCCTGGGCCAGGCCCGGGGGGAAGAGCAGCGGGCGCTGGCTGGGGCGGCCGCCATCCCGGCCAAGCAGCTGCTCCGCTGGGAGGACGTGGTGTGGAAGGTGCAGCCTCAGCACAGCCCCCTTCTCCTCCGCAGTGCCTCAGTGACCAGGCTGCCTCCCTGGGGACGGCCAGGTATGTGCTCTGGACCACTCCGGGCCCCCAATCAGCCTTAGCCCTGGGTGCAGGGGCACAGCCATCGGAAATGGGGTGCAGGTGGCTCTTAGTCCAGCTCACTCACAAGGGAACCTGTGTCAGAGGTGCCACCGGATGCCAGCCACGTGCCAGGAGCCTGAGGGAAGCTGGACAAGCCTTCTCCCGCTGCTGGACACGTGCGCGGTGTGACGGGGGCCGGCTGGAGCCTCGGCAGGCTGCAGAGTGGTGATGAGCGGGCGTGGGGACTGTGCAGGCTGACCCTTCGGCGCTCCCGCTGGAAGCTCTCAGAGTGTGGGGGCGAGAGCGAGCGAGCGAGCGAGCTCAGGAAATGATGGCTGCGGAGTCTCTCTGGCCTGCCGCGCTCTCAGGGTGTACGGGCAATAAAGATCAGTGCAGCCTCGGGGACCTGGCCCTTCCTGTCCCACGTGTGTTCACACAGGCACAGGGAGACTTAGGTTGGTCTTCAGAGCAAACTGAGGGCAGACGGTTAAACGAGGCTCAGAGCGGAGCCCTAAATTCACAAAACATTAATCCTGGAAGGAAGCGGTCTTCTCCCACTGCACACTTTTCAAAGGAGGAAACGGAGGAACAGTGATGGAGGACAGGCCTCAACTGTTCTCTGAGCTCCTGGCCTGCTCGCATGTGCTCAGTACTAGCTTCGTTCTGGTGGCCACGGTCACAGCGGCCGGACCTGGGGCAGGGCTGCAGTTCTGTGCCCGTAAGGTCTGGGGACTGCAGTGGGGTCTCGGTGGGCAACAAGCCCATGGCCTACGCACACCTGAATCCCACGGAGGAGGGAGCCAGCAGGTCTCAGAGGTGCCCTGGTCGTGTAGAGGGGCCTTCCTGCTGGGGGGTGTGAGGGGATTTTCCCATAGAGAGAAAAACAACTCCCTGATGCTGGGCTCAGGGTCGCTTCTCCGAGTTCCACCCAACCTAGGACACTCCTGGCCCCGATCCCAGTGTTAGTGTGCGGCCCCCGGTCCTGGCTGAGGCAGTGCACTGGGGATCACACCTATAAGGAACGCTGAGAGCTGGGACTCCAGGACGGGTTTTCCTTCACGGCCAAGTTCGTCTCTGCTCAGGTGTCAGCCAGTTTGGCTGCCCCCTCTAGTGGCCAATTGAGAGCACAGCAGCCCTCTGTGGGCCCTAGCAGCACACAGGGGCGGACGCTCTCCCACTGCCGCTGGGAGCCCAGGGCGTGGGGGGGAGCCCTGCAGGGCCGGCAGGTGGGAGGCTGGGCTTCAGCGCCAAAGCTCGGACGGGTGTGGTCTCGTCTCCCCGCTCCCTGCAGACCAGAGGAGCCTTTGTAGAGTCCAGGTCCGCCTTCCTCAGGCCCAGGTGAGAGGAAGCATCATTTAGTGCCAGGAGCCCAGGGAGAGTTAGGACATTTATTTCACATTCACACGTCTGTACATTTTCTATAAATAATGTGGAGCTGAAATAAATATGTACAGTCATCTCCTGCCCACTCCCAGGCCCTCCCCCTTCTGGCACCCAGTGCCAGGAGATGCTGCCCGCAGACACGGTGTGTATACCCAACTTGGCCTCTGCCCACCCCTTCAGGTTCCTGGGAGTCTCCTGGCCCCAAGCAGCCTGCTCGCCTCTAAGGCCAGGCAGACTTTGGGGAGAGCTGCTCCGCTGAGAGGTGGAGGCCATGGTGACAGCAGCAAGACAGGGCCCCGGGTGGTGGTAGCTGCCAGCTTAGGAAATGCGCCAGGAAGCGGGGAGGTGCCAGTCACTCTGCTACCCGGGGACTCTCCCTCCCCTCGCCGCCCACCCCTCAGGAAGCCTCAAGCTCCCCTCACTCCCCAGAGGGGCTGTTCCGGGCGCCCGGCTGTGCTGGGTCACAGAGGACAAGAGCCAGAGTCCTGCACTGGGAGGTCACAATGCCCAGGGCACGAAGCCACAACACCAATGTCTCAAGGACATGCAGGCGTGGATTCACACTGGCCTGTGCCAAAGAGTTCTTAAAAGCCGCTGGCCCGACAGACGCACGCGCACACACACACACACACACACACACACACACACACACACACGCGCGCGCGCACATACACACGCACACACACTCACTGGAGCCCTGAGGGAACAGCAGGCTGGTCTGGGAGCGAAGAGGGAGAAGGTGGAAGAGACTAGCTCAGCCCTGTGATGAACACACTAAGACACACCAACAGAGACACATAACTGGGAACCAACTAAGCCACGGCGAGGGGCTTGCAGAGCACGCGTGCCATCCGCGTCGGTCTTAGCAGCATCGTGCGCTTGGGAGCAGCAAGAGGCAAGGGGCGTCCCCAGGGCTGGGGCAGCCTTCACCCCTCCATCAGCTGGAGACGGGCCGGGGCGGGGTTCTGAGGTCTTCCTCACTGCTACGGACCGCAGCCACATACGAGAAGAGACACAACACAGAGTAGCAGATCTCGTGGGCCTAGGCGGGGGGGAAAACCAGGCAGGTCAGCACCACTGAGCGCTCACATCTTCACGCGTGGAGACCGGCCTCGCGGGGAAGGCGTGCCCTGGCCCGGCCGGTGGGAGAGGGCACCAGCGTGCGTCCTCCCGGGGCTGCAGACCCACGTCGGCCTCGGCGGAATCTCTGGCGTCTGGACCAAATTCGCCTCTCAGGTCACTCCTATCCCCCCTCTCCCCCGGCTCGCAGAGCCCCCCCTTCTGTCCGGAGCCCTGTGCAGACTGGCCAGTCGGGGTGGACGGCACACTCACCATGGGTGTCTTGTACTTGTGGCTCACCACTTCTTTAATTTCAGGAACTAAAACCGGACGGGCGAGAAACAAAACAGAAAGTTCAAAACTAAGAGCGGTGCCGAGCTCCCCCAAGGCGGCAGCGCCCGGCACAGGGCCCTTCCCTCTGGCCACTCCTAGGGCTGCAGCTCGGGCCACGGCAGCGCCTGTCCAGCCCCTGCAGGAGGAGAGGACGCGTCCCCGGACGCTGCCCGGAGGTCTGCATGGCTCCTTGCCGGTGGCCGTGACTCTACCCACTTCTCTGGGAGCCACGGCATGGCAGCGGGCTAACCTCTCACCAGCCCGGTCCCTGTGCTGTCCAGGGCCCCTGAGAAGCACAGGAGGGTGAGGTACCCCCAGTTGGGTGGGAGGAGAGAGCTGCAGCCCTGTCACCAGCCCGAAACTTAGGTCCTGTAACGCATGGTCCCCTGAACTCCCAGCCCCGACACCGAGCGTCCTGAGGCCGGGTGGATACGTGGCGTGACACTAAACCCACCAGACGCGTACGCTTCCTTTCCTGAGTGGCAGGAGAGGCCAGGCCCGCCTGTGTGAGGGAGAGCGTCAGAGGGCTCTGGAGCAGACACACCGAGCAGGAGAGGCAGGCGAGCGCAGCACCCGGGAGGGAGGTGACGGGGAGCATCAGGCAAGGTACACACATGTCCACAGCCCCCAAGGCCAGCCTCAGAGTCGCCCTGCCCCAGCCATGCAGGGGTTCTGCGTGGCCAGGGGAAGGAGTGAGGCACAGGCTCAGCCATCATCGTGGCCCCTGAGGTTGGGAGAAGCCGGCATGATGTCCCCTGGGGACCAGAAAGGCAGGGTGAGAGTTGGCCACACCTCCTGACCCTGGGGAGGTGAACTCAGGGGCCCACGGCTACCAGGGGATACACTCATCAAGGTGGAGCAAGAAGCACAGGTCCTCTCCTGAGTCGGAAGATTCCCCCCAAATCTCTCTCTGGCGGGAGAGAGGGCGTACACAGGAGAGAACCTCAGAACCAGCGGCCAGCACGGGCGGAGGGAGGCTGGGAAGGAAGGGGGAGAAGACGGACTGGGATGTGAGCAGCTGCCTCCGTTGAAGGGAGCCCGCCCCACCCACCGCAGGGCCCGAGGTGGAGCCTGGGGGGAGGCGGCAGAGCCGGGCCACTTTACCTGCTGGAGAACGAAGGTTTTCATAGCAGCGATGAGGGGCACAAAAGAATGAAGCACAAACACAGCAGGAACTCAAAGCCCCAGGGTGAGAACCCCTGCACTACAGGTCCACTCGGCTCGGGGGAGGCTGGCTCCTGGCTTCCAGCTCCAGCTGCCCCGTCTGCCTCTGGGGTCCACTAGGCTACTCTGCCCCCTAGAGTGAGGCCGCCTGGGTCGCCACTCGCCCCTCCTCCAGCACAGGGGCTGGGCAGAGGCTGGAGAGGCCCTGGGTGCGTGGATGGCGCCCTGGGCTACTAGGAGGCTCGCAGCAGACGGCGTGGCCTGGCAGGCGTGGGGACGGCCTGACCGCTCTGCCCCAGAACTTCCTGACCACTGGCTGGCCAACCGAGGGAACCTGGTGCCATTCACTGAGCCCCTGCAGTGCCACCCCAAAGGCTAACCCAGTGCTCTCTGGGACCCACGCCCTAGCTGCCACTGTCGTTTTTCCTTCTCCCCCGCTGTCAGCTCGGGGCTCTCCTCTTCCCTATCTCGCCTGCCCTCCAGCCTCTCTGCAGAGACTCTCTCTGAGCTCCGAGGTTTGAGTTACTGCCATGTGAGTCCAGGCCTAAGAGCAAAAGAGTGTAATTACCAAATTCCTCCAGGACAAAGACGCCTCGGACTGTATTGCACTTTTTAATGTGATTCAGCTCTATGAAAACCTGAAAGAGAGGGAGGGGGCGGTGAGGCCCAGAGGCCCACAAGACCCTCTCACCGCTACAGCCCCACCCCACACAGAAAGCCTAGTTCCCAAAGGGAGGACAGAGGAACACACACACATACACACACATACACACAAATACACACACACACACACACACACACACAACTCAAAAGCGCTAAGAAGCGAAGATAGCAGAAAGGGCATGTACCTTCCGCTCCTGGCCGGAGGAGAAAGCATGGGAGAGAAATGAAGGCGTTAGTTTTAATGGTCAAGCCCAACCCGAAGGCCCCTCTGCTGGCTTGGGCTGCACGCCCGGACCCTGTGTCCAGGGCAGCGTTTGTGGGGCACCGTGCCCCAGGGGTCCCCCCACTTAGCCCATCAGCTCTCTACCCTTCCATGCATCCTCCTCCGGCGCAGAGGGCTGGCACGGGCGCAAAGCTCCCCTCAGGCTGTCCTCGGGGTGAGGTGCTGCTATCTTCCTTGAGACAGGATCCGGGCCCTCTCAAGAAGCACAAGGTGATGAGGACAACAGCTGCCACTCATGTGAGCTCTGCGAGTGCTACGTGCAACCCTTCCAGCACAGAGCCCACCCTCACACTACAGAGGAGAACCTGGGGTCACAGGGTTTCCTTTCCCGTGAAGAACGAAGATGGGCTCCGGACCCGCGTCAGTCCTGACTCTTTGCCACTTGTTACCCCAACTGTGTCACTCCGCCGGAGGGTCCCAGGCTTCCTCAACCCCACGGAGGGCTCTGTGGACCCTTGGCCCTTATCTCACTGTCAGTCAGGGTCTCATTTCCCCTCTCTGTAGGATCTCTCTCCTCTGGGGCTAAGCCTGAAACTCCAGACCGGCTCAGACGTGCTTTGTAACAGTTAGCCGTTAGGTCCGTCCGAAGAGGCCATATACCGAGGGCATCTGGGTGCTGAGGTCCTGTCTTCAGAAGGTGAGGCATCGGTGGAGGCCACAACACTAAAATGTGGTTAAGAAACCTGCTCCCCAGCAAGTGTCGGCACCTTTGGGGTCCAGACAAGTACTTAGGCACCGCTGACAGTATTACTGTTGCCACTAATCGATATTCTAAGGAGAATACACTGCCTTCGCACCAGAGCTGCCCGGCTGGAGTCCTGAAGGAGGACTAGCAAGTGGAGGAGAAGACTCCAGATGCCCACCTCCCCGGCATCTGCTGCCTGGCCAGGGCTGTGGCTCCCACAGGCGGGACCTGGCTTGAAGCCTCAGGAGAGGAACGGGGCGGGGGGCGGGGAGGCACTTGGTGAAGAGTCAGAACTGGGAACGGACCCAGGATGATTTGCTGGCCTCAGAAAGGAATTAGCTTAAGGGGTGTCCATGGAGAGAAAAGGTAGCACCGTGTGAAGGACCAGGAGAAAGAAGCAAGTCAGCTCCTACTGTGGAATCACAGAGAGGGAGAGACGGATCCTGGGGTGTCCCGTCAAAGGAAGGGGTGGGCCTGTGAGGCAGAGGCAGAGCGGGCGCTTGGAGGGAGGAAAAGAGTAGGAAGAAGAATCAGCAGGAGAAAAGGCAAACACACACACACACTCCAGGAGGATAGAGACAAGCTACTCACACGCTCTCACACACAAACTACGCACACCGGACACACATGAGCGAGATCAGCTGGTCTAGACTCTCAAAGCGAAACCACTGAGCAGAAGCGTACCCTGGGCACAGGGAAGGCAGACGCTGCGAAGGGCCAGTGAGACGCTCCCACTCACACTGTGCTGTCTCGTGAGTCTGACGACGAGGCGCCCTCTCTTCCCGGATCTCCCACAGAACCGCCCTGCCGCACCTCCAAGGGGCCGTCAGCGTCTCGCGCCCTCCTCTCTGCTCTGTCCCCGGTCCAGCTCCTCCAGCTCTCCCACTAGCCCCAGAGGCCCTCTCTCACGCTCACTGGGAAAGCCCTGGGGACCCTGACACTGATCCTACTGCAGGTGGAACAACGGGGCCAGGAAGCCTTGGGCTGCCACTGGCACCTACCTGGTTGTGCATGAACTTGAGATTAATCCCTTCTAGGGTGACCTGCAGCAAGCCACCCTCACCAGTCTTCATGTCCTGCACGGGGAACTCGCCACCTAGTTCGGGCCCTGCAGTGGGGGAGCAGGTGATCAGCTCGCTGGGACGCAGGGAGTCCACAGCCTGCCTCCCTTCCAGGCCTCGGACACGAGCGAAGGCTGATGGACATACACGGGGCATGTGCTCAGGGAGCTCTCTCCTTACCAGGTTTGATGCTTTGCTGCCGGGCGGCGGCACGCTCCATGCTGTCCTTCACACAGTAGTACAGCTCCCGACACTGCGGCACGGGGAGAGAGCTGTGTCACTCAAGCCTTCCAGGGCTGCTGAGGGCCTGAGCCGCTGCCCAGACCTCAGGACAGCTTCGCGGATCCCACACGACAGCCAGGGGCAAAATGCGGGCTCCGGACGTGGATTTTGTAATTTTAACTCTGACCCGTATAAGAAACTCAACCCTTTGCCCTCAGTGCCCACCCCCAGCCTGCGCAGAGTCCATGGGTACCTTCTTGGTGTAGAACTTGTTGAGCTGGGTCTCCGAGCCGTTTCTGCGCCACAAGCACAGCACCTTGGTCTTGGGGCAGTAGGTCATGTTGATGAGCTTCTCGTACCACCAGCGCTCGTACACCGTCCCGATGTTACTGCGCAGCACCACGCAGTCATCGCACACCTGGGGGGTGCAGAGAGCGGGTCAGCCGTTCCGGGCCCGGCGGGCCCTCCCGTCCCAGGCCACACGACGCTGTTGGGACAACTGGTCCTGGGGGCATCCCCAGGGTCAGGATCTCTGACTTATGCTCATCATCTTCCTCAGATGGAGACTCAAACCCTGAACTGCTGGGCACTTTGTACACTGGAAGGTTTATTGAAAGAAAAGGAATCTGTAAGCAGCAAGGATGCTCACTTTTCTTTTTAAAAACATGTGTTTTTGTTTTTTTTAATTTCAGAGTATATATATATATATATATATATATATATATATATATAGAGAGAGAGAGAGAGAGAGAGAGAGAGAGAGAGAGAGAGAGAACATCAATGGTGAGAGAATCATTGATCAGCTGCCTCTTGCACCCCCAACTGGGGATCGAGCCTGCAACCCGTGACCTCCTGGTTCATAGGTCAACTCTCAACCACTGAGTTATGCCAGCCAGGCTCACTTTTCACTTCCATCAATGTTCATTATCTCTTACATGTTCTGGATTTAAAGTACTCAGAGGACAGCTCATGCCTCCACCTTACAACCTCAGGGTCACCTCTGGTAATAAGCACAAAGGCAGGGGATCATGGCAGGCTTAATCAAGGAGAAAAAATAGAACCAACACATTTCTAATTTTGGCTTGGCCGTACTTGTGCATAAATCTTTAAAAAAATACTTTTTATTATTATTTTTTCTTTTTAGAGAGAGAGGAGAAGGAAGAGGGAAAGAGAGAAACATTGATGTGAGAGTGAAACATTGATTGGCCACCTCCTGCATGTCCCCTACTGGGGATCAAGTGCATAACCCAGGAATGTGCCCTGACCTGTAATCGAACTGGCAACCTTTTGGGTTGACATTCCATCAACTGAGCCACATTGGCCAGGCCTCTGCATGAGTCTAAAAAAATTTAATTACACAAGTGACACATGGACAATACTTATTGAAAAAAAAATTATATATACAGGATGATAAAAATTAAAAAGCAAAGTATCCTTCACATTCTCTTCCTGCTCAACAGTCTTCCTTGGGTGAAGGTGTTATGGGAGATATCACAGCACAGTGGTTGAGAGCAGAGCTAAGAGCAGACTGCTGAGTTAGGTTCCAGCTGTCCTCTTAGGCAGCTATGTCACCTTCGGCAAATCAATTTGCATTTACTTTTCCTCCCATGTGAGACGAGGAAAGTAATAATTATAACTTCATGGAGTTATTGTGAAGATTAAATAAGTTAATGTGCATCAACTGCTTAGAACAAAGCCAGTCACATAGAAAGTACCCTAGTGTTAGCTGCTGTAACAACAATTATGATACAAGCAATATAATAATTATAACCATGTAGATGGCTCTCAAATCTTTCTTTGAATGAGATCTGTCTTCCTGAGTTCCTGACCTCCCTCTATCTGGATGTCTCACGGGGGGCACCTCAAATTCATCTACCATCTCAACTCAAAATCTCCACCTGGGCAGATCCTCCTTCTAAGTCCCTTGTGTGAGTAATGGCATCACCACCCACCCAGTGCCCAAGCCACATGTGCAGGAGTCATGCAAGGCTCCTTCCTTCCCCTCTCTCTGCATCGCTGAGTCCCATTCCACTCAACCTCAAATGTCCCTGGAACACTCCTCCACTTCCCACTCCAACCATGAACCCCTACTCCTCAGGTTTAAGCTCAAAGGTCATTTCTGAGGGGTCTTCCAGGACTCCTAGGCCCTCTGCTATGCCTTCCCTGCCTTGAACATCTCTCACAATGCTCACTGTACTTTATGACACTGCTTATTTAGTTATCTGACGTCCGAAAGGGTTTGTCAACGCTGCAAGGGCAGCAGAAACCATGTCTCCCTTATTCACTGCTGAAAGCCCAAGTCCAGCAGAGTGCCTACCCTATAATATGTACTCCATAAACACGAGGTGAATAAATAAGGAGCATACAAGACTACCAGATTTAACTGATTACCTAAGTGTTTACTGGGGTCCTAAAAGCCTGATGAAGAAAAGATCCAAAGTAGCTGAGTTAAGAGTCAGAAATCTGGGTTCTACCCCAGTCTAACTGTGTTGTGTTTTTTTTCCATATTGAAAACGGAAAATACTGTTCCACTCTCCATAATCCTTGAAGAACATCTTGTAAAGGAGAGGAGCAAGTATTTAGGAGAACCCCTCATTTCTAGCCTAGGGAAATGATGGTAACAATAGGTCATACTCGCCTATGCTGCTGGTGTAGGTGTCAACTGGCATAGTTTTACGAATAGCAATTTGGCAGAATCTATCAAAATTTTAAATGTATATAACCTTGATTCAGAAATTTCACACTAAGAATTGATCTTAGCCGAAATTGGTTTGGCTCAGTGGATAGAGCATCGGCTTGCGGACTGAAGGGTCCCAGGTTTGATTCCGGTCAAGGGCATGTACCTGGGTTGCTGGCGCATCCCCAGTGGGGGGTGTGCAGGAGGCAGCTGATCGATGATTCCCTCTTATCAATGTTTCTAACTCTCTATCCCTCTCTCTTCCTCTCTGTAAAAAATCAATAAAATATATATATATTTTTTAAAAAGAATTGATCTTATAGGAATTATCTTTTTTTAAAACTTTTTTTTCTTTTAGAATAGTTTGATTTTTAACGAGAAAGGAAGAGAAAAGAGAGAAACATCTATGTGAGAGCATAACATCGGTTGGCTGCCTCCAACATGCCCCCTATCGGGGACCAAGCCCACAATCCAGGCATGTGCCCTGACCAGGAATTGAACCAATTGGGATGATGTCCAATCAACTGAGCACACCCCCAGTAGGGGGTGTGCGAGAGGCAGCTGACCAGGGCTAGCCTATAGAAATTCTCATGTGAGTGTACAGTGATACATGTTAAAGGATAGTCAATGAAGATAGAGCGTCGGCTTGGGGACTGAAGGGTCTCGGGTTCGATTCCGGTCAAGGGCATGTACCTTGGTTGCGGGCATATCCCCAGTGGGGGGTGTGCAAGAGGCAGCTGATCAATGACTTGCTCTCATCGATGTTTCTAACTCTCTATCTCTCTCCCTTCCTCTCTGTACAAAATCAATAAAAATATATAAAAAAAAAAAAAAAGAAAAAGAATGAGAGCAAGGCTTCCCAATGTATGCAGCATTTTATATTGTTCTGACTTATGGGTAATGTGACTACATCCTATCTAATAAAAAGGGAATATGCTAACTGACTGCCCCACATTCAAACATGGCGGCGCCCACAGCCAATAAGAAGGGAATATGCTAACTGCTGCCCCACCCTCAAAGATGGCAGCGCCACGGTCACTGGGGCAGCCGGTGCGCGGCCCCTCCATGTGCCTGCCTCCAGAGCCCCAGCCGCTCAGGGCCAGCCCAAGGTACAGGCAAGCCATGGACGGCGGCTTCCCAGCCACCCAGGGCCACCTGAGGCGCAGGTAACCAGGGCTGGCCAAGGCTTGCACTGCTGGCAGAGGCAGCAGCATTGCCTTCCCCTGATTGCTGGGTCGCTTCCCACCCCTGAGGGCTTCTGGACTATGAGAGGGGGCAGGCCAGGCTGAGGACCCGAGCCTCTAGTCTATTATATAAACATAAATATATGTAAAAGAAATGATGGGGAATAACTATTATATTATTTGCATAAGAGCCTGACAATTTAATGCTAAATGGATCATAAAGGTGAATGAGATAAATGATAAAATATCCTGGCATCAGTCAGTTCTGGGAGGTCCTTGTAATGTTCAAATGTTCCTTTGGGTCTCTAGCATGAGCCAGCACCTACCTCCATAAAAAAGATATCTCCATTTGTGTCTGTCCCTGCATGTACCACAAATGTCTGCTTCTTCATGTGCCGGCTTCCACTGGATCGGACAGAGAGATCACGGCCATTCTGGGGAAAGAGAGATCTTTTAGGGACATCCATACATCCCTCTCACAGAGTGCCAAGAATTCCCCATTCAGCAATTAAATCTGTATCAGCTTTCTTAACAGCATGCTATCCGCTGGCCATTGACTACCAGGAAAGTGTTCTCAAATTTTTTGGTCTCGGCACTCCTATCCCCCTTAAAAATCACTGACAACCCCAAAAGCTTATGAATAATAAATTGAAGCATCCTATATAATAAAAAGCCTAATATGCTAAGTGTCTGGTCTCTGTCCATTCAACCAATCAAAGCGTAATATGCTAATGATATGCTAAGACTCCTTGCTCAACCCCTTGCTATGACGAGCACTGACCACCAGGGGGCAGAAGCTCCAACTGGTACATGAGCTTACAATCTGGACAGAGGAATCTGGACTGAGTAAAATGGGATGGACACACCCTGGAACCCTCCTGCGGTTCCTCCCCTGCTTGCCAACCTCCTGTGTCCCTCCCTGGACCTGATCAATCATGCACAGTGGGGTCCCTCAGCCTGGCCTATGCCCTCTTACAATCTGTGACCCCTCTGGGGATGTCAGAGAGCCGGTTTTGGCCTGATCCCATAGGCCAGGCTAAGGGACCACACTGGTGCATGAATTCGTGCACTGTGCCTCTAGTAGTAATATAACTAACATATTTTTGGTAAAACAACTATATTTTCCAAAACAAAAATTAGAAGAATGGCACTGCTTTAATTTTTTTGCAAATCTCTTTAAAGAGATTTGGTTTAATAAAAAAAAAAAAATAGCTGGTTCCTCATATATGCCTCTGCATTCAATCTGTTATGATACATTGCTTAGGTGAAGATATACTAGTACAGAGAAAACCTGGCTCAGATATATATTTGGAAAGGGGAAGAGTATTTTAATAGCCTTTCCAGATAAATATGCACTTCTTCTTCGATACTGTACTAAAACTCGAAAAGTAGCAATTTCTAAAAAGTTGGTTGCAATGTTGAATTGAAAACACATCAGTGAATATTCTGTACTTAGTTAAAATATATTTTTCTGCCTCACATTTTGAGTTGCTCTTTTACCTATACTTGAGTTTGTAACATCACACAGTCATTTGTAAAATACTGGTTCATCAAGTTACGCAGTTCTGCTGAATGTTGCCATTATTTCATAATATCAAATACCCACACTTAATAATATCACCATCAATCACATTAGAAAAGTGTTTAAATATCAGGAAGCTTCACACTTAAGTGCCAGCCCCAACACTGAAGAACCATAGTTTGTTAGTCATTCTTCTGAGTAAAATGATATCCCATGAACAATGCTGCCAGTTCACTTGGTAGTCCAGATGGTCACAACTGCTTTTCCTTGAAACAATCATATTTTGCTTTACAGTAGAAATACTTTATGCAAATTTCTCATTTTGTCACATAGAACATTACAAAGATATATAATCAAGGATCAGGTGCAATAAAATTAATTTTAACTGCTTTCATCAAGGACATCCTTTTGTTTTAACTGAGAAAGCAATGCATGGAAGTGAGGGCTACAGTGGTTTGGTGCCACTGCCTTCATTGTGTTAAGGCACCAGTGCTTTTACCCACCATCGGTGCAAATGCCAACCAGTAAAAAAGGCAAACAACGTTTTAGTATGCTTATGAAAATAGTTTTCACCAGATGGACCCTCAGCAGTCCACAGACCATATGTTAAATGGCTGCACTAGCCATTTAGTACAGAGAATCCTATCACAGAACAGAAAGGCTAAGGCCTCACGTAGAGTAATTCTATTTTCAAAACTGGGGACTTGGAAAATATGCACGCCTAGAAATGGCCAGCAGGAAGCCTCTGCATTAGGCCACCAGGCTGTGCTTAGGAGGCTGACTAGTGCCATGGAAAGGAGCCTAAGGAACAGTCCAGATATGCTTACCAGGTTGGCCAGCTGATCAAGTAATTCATTGATTTGCTGGCTGTACACAAGCCCAATATGGGACTTTCCCATCAGGCGCCTCACCTTCTTCCGGATGTCATTCTTCTGTACCTGGAAAGCCAGGAGAGGATCTTACTAAGGGATCTGCTCTGCTCTCGGCTTAGGGAGAGGGAATGCACAGGCAAGTTTCCTGTTGCCTGGGAGAAGAGTATCTCTAACAGACCGTATCACTGAGTAGGAGAGAAAACATTCCACTGTGTGTCCTGCCAGGAAAACCCTGGTTCTGCCTCTCGGTGGCTTCTGTAGAGAAGTGGCTTTCAGAGCAGTTCTGGTTTAAGTGACTGGGGCTTAAGGGGACACTTCTTCCCTATCCCCAGCCAATACTGTAACCTTCCTCCCTGATGGGGCCCTAAAAGCCCCCTGGGGGTCCTTAGAGTAAAATTCACAAACAGTGACTTAGAGGAACATTGTGTACTCACTCACAGCCAAGACACCTTAGGGTCAGCACCCTTTCCCAATCAGAGGTAACTGGAACCCTTCCAGTTCGACAGAGTAGAGTGAGACTTATAACAGAAAATGAAACAAACCAAGAGGGCCTGCCTGGAGGGCATTCGCTATATTTGATCAGCCAATCCCAGAGAGGCTGGGAGAACAGGAGGAGGAGAAACCCAGGGGCTCATGGTCAAAACAACTCTCTCCTACTCACTAAGCCCCTAGTCCTTCTATCCGGTAATATACTTTCCCCACAGCTATAAACACCAAGTACAACCATGTCAAACTAGAACCTACCACTGCTTTTTAAATAAGTAACACTTTTTATATCTATGGATATAATTCTATGATAAAGGGCTAGTTTAAAAGTGAATCCTGAAAATACTTATTAAACTTTTTAGAACCTACTACTTAAAAAAAAATTTTTTTTTTAATTTACTGTATTCTGTGGGAAACTCCACTGGAATCCCATTTAAAAGTCAAAGTAGCCAAAACTGGTTTGGCTCAGTGGTAGAGCGTCGGTCTGCAGACTGAAGGGTCCCAGGTTCGATTCCGGGCAAGGGTATATACATTGGTTGCGGGCACATCTCCAGTAGGGGGTGTGCAGGAGGCGGCTGGTTGATGTTTCTCTCTCATTGACGTTTCTAGCTCTCTATCCCTCTCTCCTCCTCTCTAAAAAATCAATAAAATATATATTTTTAAAAATTAAATAAATAAAAAATAAAAGTCAAAGTAAATGAACAGGTTGGAACCATCAATCACCTTTGCAATCTTTCTTAGCACAACAGCCTGCCAGCTTCAGATAAATGAAGCATGTGTGAGCTGCTGAGAGGCCTGAGACTTTCTATCAGAAAAAGAGCCCTAGTAAGATGTCTGTCAGCTCCCCAACTGCCCCAGAATTTACATGATGGGCATGAGCCTTGCCCTTCAGCAGCAGCTAGGCATAAGCCAAATCGACACTACCTTCATCAGCAGCATATAGGAGATCAGGTTGTGCAAAAGCGTGGCCAGCAAACGATCTTCATCGTCCTCAAGGCGCTTCCGGTCATGCTCTCCCAGTGACAGATACCTGAGCAGGAGACCAGGGACAAGTCAGCTCTCAGGTGGGAGACCACAGAACTAACCACGAAAAGGCTGGATTTCCCCAAGGATTTCCTAAGCCTCATACCTGTCTATCATCTCCTGGGGACCCTGGTCCATACCCATCCCTTCTCTCTCCAACATCACAGCATCTAAGAACGCATCTTCCCAGAACTGCATTTGGTCCCATAATGTAGAACGCTCTTTGCCTGTGTAGGATAGAGGTTTTTAGGAGCTTATACAACATATAAAGGATATAGTTGGCAACCAAAATAGAGTAAACTCCAATAAAGGGGAGTCATTACAAATTCCAAAGCAAAGGAAACCTGAGCCTTTCCACCCCAGATCTAGAGCCCAACTGCCTCCAAGTGAGGCCCAGTCCCCCAAAGCAGGAGGGATGAACACAGCACACAAAGAAAGGTGGTTACTCATAGAAAAGGTCTCCATAGCAGCATCCTCTAACTGGTCCCACATCGATCCTTTGTCCCTTCCTGCCAGTTTGCAAGCAGGAAGGACCATGGTAGCAAGAAAGGAAAGAAAGGAAGACAGAAACACAGAGGCTATGGATTAATACCAAAATCCAGTCTCTTCTAGAAAGTCTCACCCACCGCTTCTTCCAGACCCAGTCAGTCACCTGCTTCAGATGTAAAAATGCCCGCTAACATTAGCATCGAGGTCAGCAAAGAGCCAAGCAGCTCCTTGTTCAGTGCCACCCTCTCCCCCGGCTGAATCCAGCTTTTTCCAGTGCCAGCGACCTCCCAGTCTGTTTCTCACCTATGAGTCCCTCGTAGAGATAGACTCGCTGGCTTACATCTTCATAAGAGCGAACCGGGCTGCCTGGCAGCTTCTCCCTTACGCTCGGCTTCAAGCTGTGGGCTTTACCCTGCAGAGAAGAGTAACCGGTCAGCCCCCTGAGGTACTAATAAATAAGGGCAAAGGAAACCAAGCAGCTCATTAAAAGGCTCACACACACCAATCACCATCATCGACAACATATTCTCCAATAACCCTCCTTTTGCTACTCTGGATTGGACCAGAAGTTGATCGGATCATCCTGCTTTCTGCTACTGCCCCCTACACATGTAATCAAGTTTTCACTTGGACTTATCTTTACTCTTAAGTCTCTATAAGACCCTGCTCTAAAAACAGAACCAAGAGAATTCCCTACAGCAGCATGATGCTGCAGGAAGAATACTGGGTTTGAAGTCAGCCTGAGCAAGCTGACTTCACAGCTCTGCCTCTTACTGGCTCTGTGACCTTTGGCATGAAATTTAGCTTCTCTGAGTCTCATTTTCCACCTGAAAAAGGGAGGTTATAATACTTACTTCATGGAACTATTATAGGAATTAAATCAGAAAATATATAGAAAGCACTTAACAGTACCTGGCCCATGGTTGCTATTGGATAAATGTTCATTTTCTCTTTCCTACCATTGCAGAAATATCTGCCCCTTAGATATACCACTCACTTTTATCTGCCACTTCTGCTATATTAGACTTTCTATTCATTCAAAAAAGATTTTCAACTGGGTAAGAGGTAGGTTTTGTGCCCATTTCACAAAGCATACAACAGCATAAGCAGAAATGCAACCGATAAGTTATCAGGTAGATCTAATTAGTTATCTAAATGCCAGCCTCCTGGTTCACAGAGCAATTCTTTGTTCAATGGACCATACTAACTCACTGTAATTTATTTCCTGCTAAGATGGCCATTTTTGAGCCAAGAAATTTAGGTAACTGCTCTCAGCTATTGAACTGTATGAAGGATCCTTGCCAACCAGCACAGAACAAGAAGAATTTGTCCCAGGAAGGTGCCAGCTAAACAGTTTCTTGCAAGACTGCCACTCCACAAAACCTAGCTTAGCCTCCAGAATGGAGGCACACTAGACAGACTTAAAATACTCTTCTTAACATGCTCTGGTTAGACTCAGGGAGAGTTAAGGTCCATTAACCTGAATGGCTCTGCTGACTCTAGGTCCTGTTCCTTACGTTCACTCCAGGATGTGACTTGCTCTATTAGAAACACTTATATAGGAGCCATGGGGGTGGGAACAATCGTTTCCATTCTCCTCACAGACCAAAGATAAGGCCCTATGAGCTCTTGTAGAGAAAGTGGCAAGTGTATCAGAATGCCTAACATTCGCTGCCTGAAGTAGCAGGTACATACTGAAAAGCAGTGTATGTTGCTTGGCCGGTGTGGCTCAGTGGTGGAGTGTCAACCCCATGTACAAGGAGGTCACTGGTTTGATTCCTGGTCAGGGCACATGCCCAGACTGTGGGCTTAATCCCCAGCAGGGGTGGGCAGGAGGCAACTGATTCATCGATCATTGATGTTTTTATCTCTCTCTAAAATAAATAAAAACATATTAAAAAAAGAAAAAAAGAAAAGTGTGTCTAAAGATAAGGACTAAAATAATTTAATTCCAACTGATCATGGCTTATTGTGTAATTAGGGTAAGTTCTTCTTTTCCTAAGGCTTTCCCCCCTGACCTGTCAGGAGAGATTAGGCAGAGCAATACACTGAATTACAAATTTCTTGAGTGAACGTCATGCCTTATTTATGTTTTTTGTTTTGTTTTTTCAGTACAGAATTTGGCATTGAGTAAATCACTTGATAGATGTTACTAATGAAAAAAAAACCCTCAAATAACTGTTAGGAATACACGAAAAGAAATGATATTTTAAGGTGCTATGTAAACAGAGCAGTGACCAGAATAAAACAAGACTCGTCCATGAAATAGGCATACCGATGCTAGATGAGAGCTGTAACAGACATTGCCACAAAAGTATCACTTTGCTATTTTAAGCATAGGGTTTATTGCTACACAGGACTCCAGGCCCTTATCTAACTCATCCATGATTCAGGAGAGGGTTCTAAAAGCCCCAGATCATGGCGTCGAATGACTGTTAAAGCCTTCAGAAACCTTTTCTTTAAAGCCAAATATATGAGACTATCTGTTCCTTACTTCCTCTTTTACTTCTGATTGCCTCCTAACTTTTCATTCTTTTCTACAACTCCCCTACCCCCCACTTAAAAACAGTCTCCTTTTGTTAGTCAGCAAAGCTTACAAAGATGGCGCTGGTGGCAGAGTTGGTCTCAATTTCACTATCGGACAAAGTGGCCCGAGAGCTTGTTAAACGGGCGCTTCCCTCGCCACCCGGTCCATCGCCTGCATTGCTGCTCAGGTCACTGTCCGCTCCGAGGGTCTCTCCAGAACTATTACTCACCTGGGAAGGAGACAAGGTAGTGAGGGATATTCCCCAGGGGAGGGTCCCAGAAACACCACACTGAGAGCTCTCTGCTGCCATCAAAGGTGAGCCAGCGCCTCTGCGAGTACCTTCGTGACACGAGGAGGAGGAGCCCTAGGTGAAACCTCCTGGTCTGCTCTCGTGTGCAGACCTATGGCAGGTATGCATCTCCACCGTGAGAACCAAGCTGATCTGAGGCTAATGCAGCCTCCACAGGAGCCCACCCCGCCCACTCAGATGCCAGTGTGGTGTTCCCCTACCACGGTGCTAACTTCAGAATCCTGACTGGAGCTTCGGATCATGACAGCTGGGCTCACACCGACGACAGAGTCTGGGTCCGTCCTCTGAAATAAGACACAGGCCTCAGACACATGAGGGGAGGTGTCCAACCTACTCTGTTTCCCTAAGAAATACTGTATCTTCTTCCTTCTCCCCATTCCCACCCTTCTAGTATCCATTTTTTAAAAATATAAAATATATATGACTTACATAATAAGAACAATAATAAACACTAAAGTAGTACATGCTCACTACAGAAAATACATGAAAGAATAAGGAAACAAAAATAAGCCATGAACTGACCGGTTACATTAATCACTGTCAAGTCTTTAGTATACTTCTTGTCAGTCTTTTCTATATACATTTTAAAAGTAAAGTGGGAACCATACTGCATATACCTTTGTCAGCATTTTCCGTGTCACTAAATTTTTAAAGTACAGTTAACGGAGCTCTGGCTGGGTAGTTCGGTTGGTTGGAGTGTTGTCTCATGCACCAAAGGGTTGTGGGTTCGATCCCTGGTCAGGGTGCGTATGTGTATGGAAGGCCACTGATTGATGTGTTTCTCTCTCTCTCTCTCTTTCTCTCTCTCTTTCTCTCTCTCTCTCTCTCTCTCTCTCTCTCTCTCTCTCTCTCTCTCATCAATAAATATATCCTTGGGTGATAATTAAAATATGTTTAATGGATACTAATATTATATTATGTGGATATGTTATACTTATGCTATCATTCCCCTATTATTGACTATGTTGTTTCGAAGTTTCTTGTCTTTTGTTTTGCTTTAACTTAAAGAGGTATTTTGAGATAGCACATGGAACACTCATCATTATCAATAAGGTCACAAACCTGGGAACCAGATGTTAGGCTCACACCACTGTCTGCGCTCATCTGGGACTTTTTCTCTTCCGTCTCACCAAGGTCAAAGGCAGGTTTGAGTACTTCAGGCCCTGAGTGGGGGAAGACTTCTGTTACTCATACACAAAGGCTAGGGGCAGGCTGGGAAGGGAGTGGGACAGCAGCACGGCCTGGACCCCGTCACCTTTCCAGGGACTGCCCGCTCGGGCCCCACTGACAGAAGAGTCTCCAGATGCCTTACGGCCCGACTAGGAAAACACGAGACTTGGTCTCAAGGGGTTCTGCAGCCATGTTCTCAACCTGAGGCCATTCTGCGCACATCACCCCAGAACAAAAAAGCTCCACAAACAAACGTCTAAACCATGCTCCCCTGCACCCAGGCGGGGCTTCACCGGGGCCTGCAGGTCACTCAGTGCTTTCCAAACCAATGTGGCCAAAGGGGTGAGAAAAGGATGGGCCCAATGAGATCAAGGAACACCAGTTGTTTCCATGGACACTGCTCACCCCCACCCTGCAACTCCCACATTTCAGATAAAATCCGCTCCCCTCTCCCTACCTACCCACAATGATATGGCAGAAGGACAGAATGACAGAAAGCAAGAAAGCGTACCTAGGCAAGCCACCAGATAGTTGGAAAGCTACAGACTCACACGGAGGGACAGCAACCATCTCTGCCAACTGCGCCCACAGGCCTTCTAACAGGTGAGGGAAATATCAGCCAATGAGGGGCACTGGAATAGACTAGCGTTCTCCCCACCGATGACTCGGAAGCAATAGAGAACCATGTTCTAAGGGGCTTTGCTCAGTAGACGCCTCAATTACAGCCTGAGTGCTGCGGGGAGGGGCGGGGGAATGCACCCTACGAGCCACATACCTGAGTCACACACCACCTGCCTGCTGTCCTTCCAAATACCCCCCTAGAGCAAATTTGGGGTGGGGGCCTGCCCCAACTGGGCCTGGGGAGTTGGCAGGTATGGGAGATTTGGGTACGGGAAGGGGCGTTTGTTCCTTACTCTGTTTTTCCATAGCTTTTTGCTTTTTCACTTCCTGGTGCTTGTTCCACAATTCTACCCAAGATGCAATGTAAGCAGGAGAGAAAGACAGACAGAGTCAGAGGCTGGTCAGACAGACGAAATGGAAACCCGCCCACCCAAGTTGGTTCAGTCTCAGGCATTACAAATCAAGAGATAAAAAGAGATCTTTATTTGTGGGGATTCTGGATGAATTGAAAGGAGGGAGGGAATATTTAAGACACCAGAAATCAACTCCAAATGTCTAACCCCAACCTCTACGTGGCAGTAAAGAGCCTGCAGAGCGTTAGAGCTTGGAGGGCCTTTCCCTTCATTTTGGCCAGAGGAAACTGACCCTAAAGAGGCTGAGCAGTCCCTCCAGATCATGGATAAGTTTAAACTTCCACCACACCACACTCTCTCTGCCACATGAGTTGGGCAAAGGCAAATTTTAAAGATTTCAGATGAGACAGATGATCACCTCGAGCAGCCAAAGGGTTTTCAGAAGCAGGAACACCAATCTGCTTGACTCACTGGACTGGACAGAGGTCACTCCTGCAAGCAGTGGGCATCTCTCCTTGTTGCTACCATAAGACCCAACTCACCCTCAGAATCAGTGCCTGTCCTGATAAGAGAGCCATTCTTAGCCAGATATCTTGGAATTAAGGAACAGTAACAGAGGCTATTAAATGTCAAGCATAGCATCTTAGCAGGGGTAAAGAAGAGAGAGGAGTGATCAGAGCGATTCTTTTCCTGGAAGAACGTTAAGAGTCCACTAAGTCCAGTCCCCTCGTTCCCAGATGAGGAGACAGAGACCCTGAAAGGGAGAGTGATTTACCCAAAGTCACATTCCTGGTAGAGGGCAGGTCATTACTTTTCCTGAATCATCACTTCAGGCAGGAGAAAGGGTTGATTGCCTTTAAGACAATACTTTGCTGGGTAGAGAAGTGTAACACCCTAAAAAGGAAACTGGTTCCTCAAGAGCATTTATGAAAGTCTAAGGCAACTGCTAATAGTTGTGGCAAAGAGGCATCCGTGAGAAGCACACTGCCCAGGGACCTAGAACCGGAAAAAGAACCTAGAACCTACATGACTTAAGGTCGAGGAGGGAGGCGAGTCAAACCGAGGTGACACCCAGAGAGCTCCCTAGGCTCTGCCTCGGTGGGAACTGAGAAACTCGGAATGTAAACAAGTTCCAGTAAGGAAAGGTTTAAAGAAAAGCTGACTCAGAAACCTATACCCTGAGGTCCAGAAACCATGACAATGGAGTTGCTGGACACATACCAGAGGAGCCAATTTGAGGGCAGTGTAATGGTTGGATGGGGGAAAACTGGCTCTAGAGACCCAGATGATCATAATCTTATAGCCTCAAGGTGCATCTATAAAGTTCCTTACAGCTTCCGGCAGCTCACGTGGCCTCTTCACCATGTGAAGAAATCCAGAAGCAAAGAGACACAGGGGCCAGGGCACAGCCCAGACTCCCTGCAGGAGGCCGCAGGCCCCTAAGAAAACCTCCCCTGTGAAGATGTGGGTGGGGGTGGCTGCAAATGAAGCATAAGGGACAGAGAAGTATAAAGAAGTAACATTAGAAATGGACACAGATCTATCTCTCTTTCTCTAAAAAGCAAAGCATGGGAAAGAGAAAGGCAGGATTCTGGATGAATTGAAAGGAGGGAGGGATATTTAAGACACCAGAACCCCCTCCAATACACCAAACACAGTGATACATACCAACAGATGCTACAAAGTTCTCTTCCTTTAAACTTCTGGTATCTAGCTCCTTAGGGCCCTTTCCTGTAGCACTTGGTGCCCGAGGCCCCAGCTGGGGAACTCTTAGCTGAGCCGTGGCCTTTGGGTCTCCCCGACCAGCTGGGCCAGGATCCTTTCCAACTGGTGTATTCACACTCTCTGTGGGACTTCTCTTACGCTTGTCTGGTTCTGAGGAAAAGATTGAATATAGGAAGAGGTCAAAAGACAAAGTGAATGCCAACCAGGGTAGGGAGGTGTGTGTGGGGGAAGCAGGAATACAGGAAGATGTGGCATGGATGAAGTGCCAGGAAAGAAAAACAGCATCTTATTTTTCATGACAGGAAGACACCCACTGCATATAAACTGCCCTAGAAAATAAAATCCCAAAGCCTTTGGAAAACAGCTTGACTCTGGGAAATTTGCCAAGGGACGAGTTTCTTTTCCTCGGAGACAAGTGGAAGCGCGGTGGACGGCACGCTGCCCCGCTGGCGCGGTCCCTACCTTTGCTGTAGTAGTGGGTCTGAGCGATCTCCAGAAGCCCAAAGATGCTGGCCATGCCGCCCAGCCCTGCGTGGGCATAGGAATGCTCCAGGCTGAGCACCGTGCACTTGAGCAGGTCTAGCATTCCCTTGTACACCTTTCGACTGATCTCCTGCAACAATAATCCAGGGGCTAGATTATTATTGGCAAAATTGATTATTGGCAAAATTGATTATGGATGTCCACATCCCTCTTCCCAGGTGATTCCAACTCCCAGCCAACACTGACCACGTCGGGGATGAGATCTTGCCGGGCGTCGTCCTCGGACTGTACTGTGCGGTTCAGCTTGCTCAGGACAAAGACCCGCAGCTGCTCGCTCTCCAGCAGCCGTCGCACCTTCTTCATGTTGAGCCAGCCGACACCCTGGCCATCCAGCACGCTGTGCACCACCTCCTTCAGGAACTGCTGGTTCTCACTGTAGGGTCCACACACCACTTCTGTGGTCATTAGCTCCTTTGCAGAGCATCCCCCCTTACCCAAGCCAAGCGTCCAGATGTCCAAGTCCACTGCATCCCCCACCTCCCAGACAGCCTGCTCTGTCCACCACCACTGCCTCACTCTCTTCAGCACCATGAACTCTTGCTGTTGCATGGGGATTGAGTCAGAATGGGAAGTGCTGGCAATAATCTCGTCTACCCAGCTGAGAATTTCTCTCTCACTCTGGAGCATCCTTAAAGTTTGGTACTGGAATCGCTACCTCTACCCAAGGATCTTAAAGCTGCTCTGCCATTCAGTACCTAGAATTGCTGGATCGGCCCTGGGGTGACGGGGGCTCTCGCTTCACTGTTGGGCTGTGTTTGATGACAGATGACTTCTGGTCCACCAAGGCCCTCCTGTTTCCTGCAGCCGGGGAGGTGGAATGAGAAACATCACTAGTGTAGTCCAGGAGCCAGTGTCGGCACAGCCCTGGCAGCCATGGTCCACACCAACTCCTCAGAAGGGCTGGGCGAGGATGGCACCAGGGCGCCACACAGGGGCAGAAACCAGCCATGGCAATGTGGAGGAGGTGGGGATGGAAACTCGGGCCACTCCGCATGCACCAGCAGCACACCCAGGGGCAAGCATGGGCATCACGGGGGACAGGGCAGGCAGGTCATCATGTGATCTGCTTGCTCCATGAGGAGGATGGCCTCAGGCAGGCACAGGAGATGCTAGGAAAAAAGAACGATCATGCACAGCTCACGGGCAAGACCCACCTTCACCACTCCCGGGGCCGGCTTCAGTAACAATCTCCATTAGAGTATTTAGCCCAAATACTGGGACACAAAATACACAATTAGTAGGTGCGCCACGATACTACAACCCCATAACCCTCAATGGAGCTGTTAAGTCAGATAAACTGAGCATTCTCCCAAAGCTTGGTGCACAGAACCTGGGTTCTCAGGCACCTCAGAGCTAGAAGCCAAGTGACCAGGAGACAACCAAGCTCTAGGCAAGACCACCCGTAAGACTATGGCCACACAAAGCCAGAGGCAAGGAGCCTTCGGGTACCAAACAGGCACATGCCGGTTGTCATGAAACATCTGGCACAGGGTCCGGAGGGCCTGCGGGCCTGCAGAGGGCAGAGACCCCCCCTGCAGATGCTGTCATGGGAAGTGGGGTGGAGGAGTGAGGATGGGAGTGACAAGTGCAGCAAATGAAGTGAAGCACCGCATGCAATGAAAGCGTCTCCACTGTTCTCTTCAGCTGCATCGGAGGAAACACCTTTCCTTCCCTCGCCTACCGAGCACGGCTGAGTCCGCTCAGGAGTTCCCTACACCACCAGCTCTCATGTCCTTTTGCCCATCTAGCCTATGTCCCCATCCCTCGCCCAAAGAACACGCCTCAGCTTTCTGACAATTTTAATCACTTTGAAGAGAGGTCAGTTAAAAAAAAAAAAAAAGACACGGAGCTGCTCCTCACTGTGCTTTCCGCTATGATTGAAGATCAGCGCAATAACCAGAGGAAACACACAAAAGTCAGAGTAAATTTCAAAAGGCCCTCACCCTGTCAGAGATCCCTAATGAAAACCAAATGAGGTCTCAACCGCCCCTAGAAGCCAGCCAATACCACCTGGTCTACGAACTGGCCCTGAGTTGTTGTGAAGCCAAAGTAAGAGGCTTTTTTACTCTATAAACCTTGTCAGGCTCAAAACATAAAATAAATGCTCAATGCCAGGGTCTCCACAACAAGCCCCTGCTGGGCCGTCTCTCTGGGATGGGGTTCATCCTGAGTTCACACAGCAGGAACCTGGCAGGTAACTGGTGGCCCTGGATGATGCCCAAGTTAATGATGGACCTCTGACAATGCTTCCCCGGAAGCAGCAGCTGGCCCACAGTTGCCATCATCTTAAAGGTTATAACAGGGCCTTCTCTTTAGCTACAAAGTCAGTTTCCAGTCGAAAACCAGCAAGAGCCCACGATGTGCAGTGAAAGCTGTGAGAAGCGACATGAGAAGCAACAACCAGATCTGGTGACTCATCACGCATGGGACTCCTGACGAGCACTCATGGGCTGGGACAGTTCTCAGAGCACCCTGGCTTGGCAAAAGGAGGATGCAGTTACCTTTCAGACTGGGGAAGGGCGTGGTCTTCTCCCGGGCACCTTTGGTGGGCAGCGCAAGGTTCGAAAGACTGAAGCTTGTACTGTGGTTCCGATATAGGCTGCCTATCAAGGTGTGGCAGAGTGAGAGCAATGCATTAGGGGGTAAAGAATCAAAGCTTCATACTCCGAGGACTAGTTTATCATCTTCACCTTCCTCCTTTCCCAACAGCCCGGTGACTCTGCTCTGAATTAGAAAGGACCCAGGCTAACTTAGGGCAAACAAAGGGGCCACTGCCAAGACTGCTCAAAATCCAGTAACTACTCTCTCCGACTACCTCCCATGACAATAAATCTCTTATCCACTGCCAGTTTGGCATGAAAGCGGCACTTAGTGTGCTTCTGGTCTGAAGTTGGTGCTGCCCCTTCCCGGCTTCTGCCAAAACTCACAATCACAGTGACCCCCCTATGTTGGCTTTCTCTGGTCCCGAGTCTGTCTTCAAGCCTTCTCTGACACCAACCCTCATTTCTGGAAATAATCTCTATGCAGGAAGTCAACCTCATAGAGATTTCAAAACATGTTTATGAAAAAGCCCTTCACCAGACAGAGGAGATATTAGACCAGAATATTTCCACAAAATGTGTGTACAAGTGTATAATTTTTAATCGAATGATTATTTTTCCGTTGACCCACTATCTCATCTGAAACAGGCTGAACCCTCCAGGCATAAAGATAATGATTAATCTGTCCCTGTTCTTTACTGACCTCCCCTGAAAATACCTATTGAGCATCACCAAACAACCTGAATTGGGGCTTGCTGATGCAACCCAGCCCTGTATTGAAGTTCTAAGCAGATTCTGCCATGGCCAAGCCTTACTGGGAAGAAAATGGGACAGAGACAAAAGAGAGCTGAAATCACTTACTGGCAAAAGACATGATGCCCCCAAAACTCTCGGTGCTGTTGTTAGAGATGGTGGAGGTGGGGGAGCTTGCTCGGGAGTCTGACTCTGCCTCTGAGTCGCTTGCCAGCTTCAAGCTGTTGGGCCGCAGCAGCTTTTGAGCCCTTGAATGCACAGTGGCACCTATGAGCCCCAAGGTGACCTTGGGTGTGTGAGCCTGATGCTACCCTGCAGTCACCATTCCCTCCCCATGATTCCTAAACGCTGAGGTCACAGCACCACCCTCCGGACACGGCAGGACCACGAGGGCACTGAGACCTCTCAGGCCGATCAACCCTCGCCCGACCCCACGGCAGGGAGGCCCTGCAGTCACCCATCCAGGACTCCCCAGGCTCTCACCGACTGCCACTGCCGTGTTGGCTGAATCGGGGAGTGTAACTTTCCCCCTGGTCATCATCGTCTTCCTCAGGGGGAAGGCCATACTGGGGCTCGAAGTATGGGTTGTCGTAGGTTCGCCGGCCCACGGAACCCTCTCCAGTTTCGGTCTGGCGCCCGTCCGCGGCCGATTTGCTGATGCTGGGAGGCACGGGAGGGAGGGGCTTGGAGATGGCTACTGCTGCCTTATCGTCCATCTCTGTTGAGTCAGCAGGTTCCTACAGGCCATATCAAATGAAAAGTAGTCACCTGGTGCCCAGTGATGCCTTCCCATAGCCTCGGTTTGGCAGGCCCACGCCAGGCCTGTCAGATTCCTACCCTAAGAAATGTGTGAGAAAAGATCTCTGTGACATCTCTGTTCTCTGTCCCCACAGACGGTGCAAGAGGGATCAAAACTATATCTTAAAGGCTCTAAGCTGCAGGCCTATGGTCAGGAAGATAGGTAGATCATGAAGAAAGCAGTAAATTAAATCCAGAGCTTCACCTCAGCTTTTCTTTTCTTTCTTTCTTTTTTTTTAAAATATATTTTATTGATTTTTGTACAGAGAGGAAGGGAAAGAGATAGAGAGTTAGAAACATCAATGAGAGAGAGTCATCGATCAGCTGCCTCTTGCACATCCCCTACTGGGGATATGCCCGTAACCAAGGTACATGTCCTTGACCGGAATCGAACCCGGGGCCCTTCAGTCCCCAAGCCGACGCTCTATCCATTGAGCCAAACCGGTCCCGGCCACCCCAGCTTTTCTAAGAGAGGTGAGGCCCACGCCCTGCAGTCCCACCCCAAGTGCTCACTTACAGCACTGGCTCCGTGGGTGACGGTGCTGGGGCCACTGCTGGCCACGGTGCTGGAGCTGGAGTGCGGTGGAGGGTGTTCCTGAGCGCTCTCTCTGCGGGGGCCAGGCTCCCCGGCTTCCTTCTGGCTTGGCAGCTCATCGATCTCCACCTCACTGGCATCCCCCAGTGCCGCATGCGTCAGAGGATCCACATCTGCCAAAACCCAAGCGTGCTGGTACAGGCCACACCATCCCAGAAGCCAAACCGTGCCCAGAGCTGGCCAAGTTCTCCAATACACTTACTAGGCGTATCGCCGTTGATGTCACACTTCATCATTTCACTAACAAAGTCCCCGAGGGAGGAGTAAGAAGAGCTTGAGTCACCATAGTCCATACTATCACTGCCGCTGCAGAGTGGAGAGCATTTTAAAATAAAACAGAAAAGAATCAACTATCAGCATTTGGAGAAATAAAAAGAGGAGCACCCTTAACTCAAGACCAGGGAACAATAAGAAATAAGAAAGCTAACACAAAGCAATCAAGCCTGGATGGTATGGCTCAGCGGTGGAACACAGCCCATGCATCAGGAGGCTGCTGGTGAGATTCCTGGTCAGGGTTCATGCCTGGGTTTCAGGTGCAATCCCCAGCAACTGGTGTGCAGGAGGCAGCCAATCATGTAGATGGTTCTCACTCTCTCTTTCTCCCTCTCACTTCCTCTCTTTCTAAAGTCAATAAAAACCTATTAAAAAACACATAACCAATCAACCAAAATATAACCCAAGGCTTCAAATGCTGCTAACTTCTATGAGATTTTGCCATGTTGCTACATAAGGACTAGTGAGAGCCTCCTGACCTTACACACTGTGCTGCTGCCATAAAGGATTGCTCACCTGTCATCAGTGGGGTCAGAGTCAGAGTCACGCTCTGGTGGCACGCTCAGCGCTTCAGCCAGCTGGGAATTGCTATCGTAGACGCGATAGTGGATGGGTTGCAGCTGATGAGCGTACCACTTTGGCTTGTCACCAATCAGGGCCGGATCAAACATGTCTACCCGAAGAGGAAAAAGAACAGACTCAGCAAAACATAAAAGAAGAGTAGGAGCAAGTCTGCAGCAAAAATAGGAATGGAAGGGGCAGGCCCAAGAAAGGGAAGAGCCATCAGGACAGAGGCTGACGGTGGGGCTGTGCAAAGGACGGGGGGGGGGGGGGGACTCACTGTTGTGAATTCGCTGGAAGGCATAGTTGGTCGGGTTAAGGATCCATTCCCCAAAGTACTCCACAGCCTGAGTCCTGGCCAGTTTCTCAGCAAAAGGAGTCTGCCGGGGACGGGAGGCCAGGAAGGAGCCGGCTTGAAAAGCTACCACGGGCCGAGGGAAGAGACGCAGGATGCGTGTGTGCATCTGAAAGCCCTGCAGCACGTTGGGGGAGTTGAAGAAACGGACCATGGCCACTCTGGGGAGAAAGGGAGGCAAGATATCCGAGTCCCACACCTTCCAGAGGGATGATTCCTACGATCCAAAGTCTCCGATCGCCTCCCAAAGCCATCCGTTAACCGACTTCCAACATCAAGGGGGAAAACATCTTAAAGAATCATCAGTCCTCTTCCTCATCTAAAATGCCTGACAGAATGAACTCTTTCTTCTCTTTGCTTTTATTAAGGTGGCAAATAGAACCCAGTATTACACGTTTTATAAACAAAGAAACTCTCGCTGTGTTAGAGACCAGTGTTAGAGTCGTGAATGTCTGGCCTGCTCGATAGGTACCTGGTTGCGACATCCACGGAATCCACATCATTGCCATAGATGAGTGGGTTGAATTCTGTGGAAGGTGTGGACTGCAGGTCATTAGTGGGCTTTCCAAAGAGCAGGGGCATCTCCTGGCCCTCATGGAATTTTTCCAGATTGAGGATTGGCTGGGTGTTGAGGCTCATGCTGGCAAGGGCCTGTGGAACAACAAGAAATTCCTCAGTGAAGGCAGAATCCTGGGCAGCTGGACAATCTCATCTCCTAGGAAGGAGCCTTCATCCTATATAATAGAAGTGTAATATGCAAATCGACCAAATGGAGCAATGACTGGTCACTATGATGCACACTGACCACCAGGGGGCAGACGCTCAACACAGGAACGTTCCCACATGGGGAGCCCCGCTCAGCCAAAAGCTGGGCTCATGGCTGGTGAGCACAGCAGAGGGGGTGGTGGTGGGAGCCTCTTCTACCTCTGTAGCAGGGCCTAAGGACCCCTAGGGGGATGTCCCCTGACTTGTCCTGGACTGCGAGAGGGTGCAAGCCAGGCTGAGGGACTCCCCCGCTCCAGTGCACGAATCTCATGCACTGGCCCTCTAGTCTTTGAAATAACTGTCAGAAAATATTTTAACTTTTAGAACTAATGTGAATTCTTCAGATCTTCCTGGCTCGAGGCAACTCAATCAAATTCAGGGCAATAGCTTTCAATTTTATTTTAGCCATGAAAGCTTTTTTTTTTTTTTCCCCCCAATGGAAATTTATGTGGAAATATAAACAACTAAAACTTCAGGTTCTTTGAAGGACATAAAGAATCCAGAGCCTCACGCGTTCAGTCCTTGCAACCTAAATCAACCCCTAGTAGACTTCACAGGGCAGTCTGAAACCACTGGTTTAGATCGAGAGCTCCTTAAAAGTTAATCAGCATAGGTTTCACTTGGTCATATTGTTAAAATGCAGGTTCAGATTCAATACGTCTGGGTGATTCTGCACTTCTACCAAGCCCAGGTGAGGCTAGTGCTGCTGGCCACGGACCACACTCTGAGCAGCAGAGGTACCGCTACAGGATCAATAAGCCCAAGGACTTAGCTCCCACAGACATGGTTAAGTCCAGTCCCATCCACAATCTCTCCATCTTATTAGGCCTGCTACGGCAATCATCGAGAATGAAAACAGCAAAGGAATATAGCTCAAGAACTTTCTGAACTTGCAACCCTCTCCAGATTAGACTGCAGTACCAAGATGTCATATTACATCAGCAGTGCCGAGGCAAGTGAGGGGGATGGTACAAAAGGAGCCATTTAAGTCCAAGCAGGTATCATCTAGAGGTACTGCTAAGCAACTCAGACAACAACTAGAGAGAGAGAGAGTCCTTCAAATGAGAGCAGGTATTCCTAAGATAGAGCTATCTACGGGCCCCACATAACACACAGCAGGCAAAGGGATGGGCTTTGTCAGGTTTTACCTTCCTGAACTGTGTTCAGCATGCAGAAGAAGAAAGTCAATCAATGAAAAAGGCTTTTGAGGGATTACTCAGAGAAAGGAGTTTTTGAAAAAAGGATTCTATAAGGACCTACGGATCAATGTAAGAAGAAAACATTTAAAAATCCATTCTATCCTAACTCCCTCCTTACAAGACTGAGAGTGAATGCTTCGAGGCCATAAAGAATAGCAGATGGGCCTGGGCTGGATGTCTCAGCTGGTTGAAGGTCATACCGACCAAGGTTACCGGTTCGATCCCCGGTCAGGGTGTGTAAGAGAGGCGAACAATCAATGTTTCTCCACTCACACTGATGTTTCTCTCTCTTTCTCCCTTCCTCTCTCTCTAAAAATAAATTAAAAAAACATATCCTTGAGTAGGGATTAAAAAAAAAAAAAGAATAGCAGACATGACAAGATACTAGAAGTGAAGGGTTGTTTTATGTACCAGAGGGTTTGGGATGGGATTGGGGGGATGAGGACAATTATGTGATACCATAATCAATAGAAAAATAAATAAGTAAGTACCAGAGGGTGGAAGCCATACAATGAACTAGAAGGAATCTGAAAAACCATTTTTGAGGTTCACTCTGCCCCCACCAGAAATGGGGTACACTTCCTCTTAAGCCCACCCGAGGTGAAGAATATCTACTCTACGTCTGCAAGGAAACTGGCTCCTCCAATAGCTGTCTGCCTACAGCAGTCCTGCAGCAGCCATCACTCCCCTCCTTTCCTTCATTCTTCACGTTACCTGCTTCAAATGCTTTTTCAACTCTAGTGACTCTGGTTCTGGCAGGATGGGTAGCACTTCTGCATTGGTGGGGGCAATCACCTGCACCAGAGAAAAGATAGAAGGCATGACCCTAGAATTAATTGCTCAGGGGTTTCTCTCACATAAGGATAAGAAAAAAAAAAATAGGAAGCTGCATATACAACATGTCATATATATGTGAATACATACATTATATACCAACATACATGAGATATCCATATGCACATGTGTATAATATACATACACACCTGAAAGGAAATATATCTAAACGTTATTGGTGACTATCTCTAGATAATAGGATTATGGTTTTTATTTACTTCTTTATACTTATTGGTATTTTCCAAAGTTTTTACAATGAACACATGAGGGCTTCCTACCAAAGTTTGCATTCACACTACAGAATGTTAATGTGCAATTTTATTTTATTTATTTATTTATTTTTAAATATATTTTATTGAATTTTTATAGAGAGGAAGGGAGAGAGATAGAGAGCTAGAAACGTTGATGAGAAACATCGACCAGTTGCTTCTTGCACACCCCTTACCGGGGATGCCCGCTACATGCCCTTGACCGGAATCGAACCAGGGACCTTTCAGTCCGCAGACCGACGCTCTACCACGGAGCCAAACTGGTTTTGGCTAATGTGCAATTTTAAAAGTCTGTACTGAAAGACAGTTTCTTAACAGAAACTATGCCCCCCAAGAAAACAATTAGCTGATCCACACCATATGTAATTGTCCAACAACCACAAATGCCCTACTGATCTGAGATGCGGGGGAGCACTTAATTCTGGCAACACTAAATCTTTTAATTATTTGAGTACTAAAAAGGATCTATTAAACCAATAAAATACAAGCAAAATTAAAAAAAAAAAAATTGCGGGCCCAGAGCAGCCGGGTCGGGTGCGACCAGGCCCGGAGCAGTGGTTGCCAGGCTGGAAGAGGCCAGGCCTGAAGCAGCCAGGTCAGGTGCAGCCAGGCCCAGAGCAGCAGCTGCCAGGCTGGGAGCAGCCAGGCCCGGAGCAGCCGGGCCCAGAGCAGCCGGGCCCAGAGCAACCAGGTTGGGTGTGGCCAGGCCCAGAGCAGCAGCAACCAAGCCCGGAGCAACCAGGTTGGGAGCGGCAGTGGCCAGACCCGGAGCAGCTGGTTGTGGAACGGACCAGAGCAACAGAAGCCAGGTCCGGAGCAGCCAGGCCCGGAACAGCTTGCTCCTCGCCTATCCCCGCCCCAAGGCTGCCTTTCAGACATGGCTGGAAACTTTTGCAGGAACTTGAGGGTCTGCTGAATCAAGTGATGAAGGCTTAGATCTGGATATGTTGAGTTAGTATAGCTCTGGGGTGTTGATCTGTGAGTGCCTTGTGCGGGGCCTGGATGAGGTTGGTTGACCTATTTGGAAATGTCTTTTGTGTGAAGTGTATCTTTGGGCATGTGGAGGTATTATTGATATGAGAAAATGCTAAGTAACTGATTCTACTGTCTGAAAAGGGATTTACTGTCGGGGAAAGGGAGGGAGAAAGAGACTGAACATAAACTGTGCACCTATGGATGAGGACAATGGGAGAGGGGAAGGGGGCGGAGGGTGGGGTGGGAACCTGGTGCAGGGGGGAAGAAATGAGGAACCTTTGTAATAATATGAACAATAAAGATTGATTTTAAAATAAATAAATAAATAAATAAATAAATAAATAAATAAATAAATAAATAAAAATTTTAAAAAAAATTGTCTCGCCGAAACTGGATTGGCTCAGTGGATAGAGCGTTGGCCTACGGACTGAAAGGTCCCAGGTTCGATTCTGGTCAAGGACATGTACCTTGGTTGCAGGCACATCCCCAGTAGGGGGTGTGTAAGAGGCAGCTGATCGATGATTCTTTCTCATTGATGTTTCTAACTCTCTATCCCTCTCTCTTCCTCTCTGTAAAAAATCAATAAAATACTTTTTTTTTTTTAAATTGTCTCAATGAATCACACAATAGAAATCACCCACCAACTCAGGACCCTCCTGGGAGTAATCTGAAAAAACAGGACCCCACCCTATTGTAGATTCCACAAGGCCTCAGCCAAGAGCCTCACCCTACTGCTGTCCAGATCCACCAGCCACACATCATCAGGCATCTTGAAGTCTGGTTTGTAGAGGAAGAAGCTGGCAGGGACCCCGATGATGTATGGGGTTGGGGCCAACAGCAGCTGTGGAAAAGATGAAGAGGATAAGAAAAAAAAAAATAAAAACCAACAACCACAAAACCTATTGTGATCACTTATCAAGTCAGGATTTTTCTAGATAAGAAAACAATCCCTTTTCCAAAACCCTTGAGAGTAGATGAGTTTAAAAATTCAGAATTTTTGAGACTTTAGACATGTACCAGTGCCTCTCCTGCATGTTAAGTGATATCTGCACTGAGGTAGCCAGGGGCCTCTCATCGTTGGCCTTTAACGGTGACAAATAAAAACATAAGCAGCACGGGTTTTACCACCAGACCAGAGCAAGTCAGGTCAGACTTTGCAGTCACGTAAGCTGTGATAAGGGACTGCAGACCAATACTGACTTATTACAACTTCCCTGGGCACTGAGCATTCTCCCCCAGAGCGGGGCAAGTTGGAACACAGAGGGGACAGAGACAGAAGACTCACCTGCTCTGCTGATCCCATGCAGGTGGGCAGCAGCGGGATAACAGGAAACATATACTCCAGGGGGTAGATCATTGCCACAAACGCCATCACAGACATGGAGAGGGCGTTGTAGTCGCGGGACTGAAGCACCACCTGCCACAAGTCATAGGGACCACTCGACAGCGTTAAGTAAGGTTTATGAGAAGACAACTTCCAGCGCTACAGTTTATTCCACCGTGCCCCCTGGCTCCAGTTTGTTCCACCGTGCCCCGTAGCTCCCACAATCACACTGCTCTGCACCCCACCTTGCACCTCCCAATCCAAGCACTGTAGTAGTCTTCTCTCGAATCACTCCCTATGTTCCTAGTTCTTGTACTCCTAATCCCAGGACCACTCTTTGGAAGAGTACTACTGATGTTTCCAGAGAATTAGATCAGTATAGTTATAGATAATTCAGCTGAGTGGAAAGTCCTCTGAATACATCCCACACGATACCAGCACCTTAAGTCAACCCACATCTACTGAGTACCTGCTCAGGAGATACATGGCCTCTTATTACCCTCTGGAGATAAAAAGATGAAAAGGATGTAACCCCTGTCTTCAAAAAGCTCATGGTTTAGCCTCTGCCATTTTCCCAAGGTCTGCCCTTTTCTCCGGGCCCTCTCACCTTGTGCTCTAACAGGATGCAGGATAGCACCTGAAGGCAGGCATCCACACCCAGAAGTTCCAAGGGAAGGTGCAGTGGGAAATCCACCAGGGTGAATCGAGAGGGGTCTGGAAGGGCAAAGGTCAGAGCCTGCTGGAGCTCCTGGGGCAGGACCTCAATGTCTACTCGCTTCTGCCCAGAGACGGGCACGGGGGAGCGCAGCAACCGGTAGATCCAGGCCTCGATCTCCCGGAGGTCGTGCAGGAGGGCACTTGACTTCTCCTCCACTACCAATGACCCAGTGAAGATGCGCCACATGGTGTCCCTGGGGGCAGAGAGCAGGAAACAGACACGTTGGTACCACGGGCTGACACACCACTGCAACCCACTGTAACCACAAAGGGGATAATGATGACAACTGGAAAAGCCCACCCTTGGGGCTCAGCGAGGACCACAGGATAGGGACAAGAGTGAGACCGGGTATAAAAATGCACACATGGTGGGACTCGTTGTCCTGCCCACTATGGAACAACAAATTGCTCAGCACTGACCCAAACACAATTATGACAGGAGGTCTAACTCAGCAGCAGTCTTTTGCTTAGTAAGGACTAAGGTCCGATGGACTTCAGGCCCTAGAGAAACTTCCTATGCCCCTCACAGACCAAGTATACCTCATCTCTCAAATGCTCCACCTCCCTGAGCACTAGGGGCAAGCCATACCTTTGGATGCCTCGGGGGAGGCCCAGTTTCTTGCCCAGCAGTCGCTCACTACAGCAGTCCACCAGACGTTTGAGGGTGTACAGACACTCCCGGAAGGTGGAGAAGAAGGGGTAGTGGCTGATCACGCAGAGGGAAGTCAGAGTGCTGTTGCGGGACCGGCTTCCCGCCTTGGCCCGGCGCTTGGCACGCGGAGACTGGTTCACATCGGGGGTGGAGTCGGCACTGGGAGGCTGCAGGGATGAGCCGCTCTCCGAACTCTCCGTGCCAACCTCTTCGGAGGCGCCGGCGGGCCTGGGTCCTTCCTTCCCACGGGACCCTGCCCCAGCTTCCCCCTTCTCCTTAGGCATTCGCTTCTGGAAGGAGCGGTAGAAGTTGACGCAGATGCCATAACGTGTAACGCCGGTGTCCTTGTCGGTGAGGGTGAAGACGAAAGAGATGTCGTCCCGCAGGCTCATGCGCCGCTGCCGCACGCTCAGACAGCCCTCGGGCTGGCAGAAGAACACCACATCCGGGGGCAGGGGGAACTCGGGGTGATCCTCCAGCGGGTATCGCCGAAGCAGTTCAGGAGTCTGGGCCACACTGTCACTGCTCGGGTGCCTGGAGAACAGAAAGACCAATTCAGCAGCCCGAGGAATAGGACGCGCTATCAGATTCTACCACGGTCAACAAACAAAGTTCATAATGCTATACTGGATCAAGTAACTAACTGCAAGGCCTTGGGAACGAGGGTGCTGCGTGCGGCATTTAGCCTGTAGGCTGAATGAGGTCAGCACTGTCATGAGGACCCCCTATCCTGAACTGAGAGGAAAAATTTCAACAATGAAATGATCACTCACACCTTTTTCAAAGTCTATTAGCCAAGGGCAGAGCATGTGTACGTAGAGAAGGAGCACAATGTACTTTTCCTTTTTACAAGAAAGGAAAAGTGGGTACACAGGAGTGCATCTGCTCAAGAACAGAAAGATGGCAGTTAAGAGGAGTTTTGGGTAGGGTGGGGATTGGTAAGGGATGTGCACATATAATACCTTAATTTAAAAAAAAAATGAGGGGGAAAAAAAGTTTTGCTCCAACCCTGTTCGTCCAGGCCTCCACTCTCAATGCACCTGACTGTGTTGTTTTCACAGAGGCATCAATGCCCTCATCAGGGTAAAACAGTGGGGGAAGAATAAGATATGCAAATCAACATGGACATGGGAAGGGGAAGAACTTTGTGGCTATCCCACGTGACAAGACAAAAATTATTCTCTTTTTGGTTACCTGGCGCCTACAATCACTAGGTAGTCAAGTAACCGAGGACAGAACTTCTTCTTTTCCAACATGGTTCCGATTCGTCAGTTCATCTCGGAGAAGCTTCAAGGCACCGTGCAAGGGGTCAGCATTCCCAGGAAGAATTCTGTTGTTATCTGAAAATCCAAGGCTAATAGGAAAAAAGTACTGGTGAGGTCCATTGCTGTGCCTAAGGAACGCAGCCCTGCTAGCTTCATCCCGGCCAGAGGCATGGGTCAGAAGGTCTTCCATTCGGATAAAAGAGCCCAACACTTGCCCCAGCCTAGAGTTCAGCCTAGGCTTATGAGCTCACAGAATCAAATGAGAAGGATAAATGAAGGCCTATCTCCCCATCCCTACAAACAAGTTCATTCTCAGCCTTGCCCCTGGCGCTCTGGTTTTGAAAAACAGAGCCAGTTAGTCTAATCTGGACTCAGTCATCATGATAACAAAAATTAAGTCATTTTCAGGACTGCTCCAGGGGGGATCCAGGATCAAACCAGACTCTCTAATCAGCACTCCTCTGTACTCCTAGCTCTAGATGAATATCGATTTATTCTGTTCCAATATTCTGCATTCAGTTTGATGTGAAACTAGCATATATAGCGTATAGTTAATTGCTCTCAGACAATAACAAAAGCTGGGTATTCTACCCTGTGCAGTTTCAAATGAAGAATATCTATGTTCCAGTTCCTTGTCTAACCCAGTTTCCTTCCCTCTTCAAGCAAAAAAGGGATCCAGTGGCTATTGCTCCTGGCTCTGCCCTTGGTGCTGAATCATAGTCTTTCTACTCTATTTTGGTCCTAGGACTGGAATTAGTAATACAACACACACAGATGAGGTCTTGTCCTGTATCTTACAGAGACTAGGAATTAGATGCAGAAATAACAGGATTCCTGCAAGAACAGGGAGAGGTGCTCAGTGGGATTTCTAAACCATAGTCCAAAAGTCAGGAAAAACATACAGGGTCTTAATTATAATTCATTTCCTTCTGGGTCTCCATACACTTCTGTAACAAAATGTTTCACTCTACCTCAAGATTATTTTCAGTGCTTCCAGAATTCCACCTCTGTGCTCTGTACATAGCCACACTGGGACCTTGCTCACTACACTCACACAGAGAATCTCATTATATTACTCACACTCACACACCAGTCCCTGTTTTGCGGCGGCATGCACTACCATACACACAGACATCCACACTTCCTGTATGCTTAAGGTACTCTTGATACAGAAAATGAAAAGTTCTAACCCCCCCTACTTAATAATAAAAGAGACCACCCTAGCTTGTTTGGCTCAATGGATAGAGTGCTGGCCTGTGGACTGAAGGGTCCTGGATTTGATCCTGGTCAAGGGCACATGCTCTGTTGTGGGCTTGATCCTCAGTAGGGGGCGTGCAGGAGGCAGTGGATCAATGATTCTCTGTCATCACTGATGTTTCTCTCTCTCTCTCTCTCTCTCTCTCTCTCTCTCTCTCTCTCTCTCCCCTCCCTTCCTCTCTGCAATGAATAAAAATATTTTTAAAAATAAATTAAAATTTATTTAAAAAATAAAAAGAGACCTATTTGCAACACTTCTCAAATCCTCAAACTATTGCTCCTTCCTTTCCCTTGCTCCCAATAGAAAGCCAGCAGGTAATAGGATTCAATGTTATCTCCATAGTGACTGACTCCCAGTACTATTTATAGCAGAGCCACAGCCCCTCCCCTGCCTGGTGACCTCACAGTTGTAGCAGCTGCTACTCCAGGATCGGCCAGGGCCCATACAACCCACTCTCCTTTAATCTGGAGACACCTCTTCCACTGACAGCACCTGCTAATGATTATGCTATCTCCTTTTGTTTGCACTGTGTCCTAATTCTGGAGTTTGATAGAACTAGCTCCTTCCCACGCAACCACAACCAAGTTTCCAAGCATGCCCTACACTCATATCTAGGTATCACTGTCACCCAGCACGTCCTCTGGTTCTCTCCTCTGCTATGGAGCCCTGAGCACACTGCAGAAGGTGGGGCGCTGTTTAATAGAGCTCCTGCCAACCAGAATGAGAAGGGGAGAGAAACAAATGAAATGGGAGATGTATGAAAGCATAATCCATTCTAATAGAATTATGTGGATAATGCCTAGGGTGAGAGCCAAAGTATAGTTAAGTCTTCACTTAATGCCATCAGGTTCTGCAACTTTAAGTGAAACAGTATATAAAGAAACCAATTTTGCCATAGGCTCATTGACAAGAGTTAATGGCACCTGATCAACGTTATAATTAAACAATGTAGAACAAAATGGCATTATTGGAGGACATGCTGTGTCTTAAAATAAAACAGAATTTGCCAAAACTGGTTTGGCTCAGTGGTAGAGCGTCGGTCTGCGGACTGAAAGGTCCCAGGTTCGATTCCGGTCAGGGGCATGTACATTGGTTGAGGGCACATCCCCAGTAGGGGGTGTGCAAGAGGCAGCTGGTCGATGTTTCTCTCTCATTGACGTTTCTAGCTCTCCATCTCTCTCCCTTCCTCTCTGTAAAAAATCAATAAAAATAAATAAATAAATAGATAATAAAATAAAACAGAATTTATAGGACCAGATCCCAAGGCTAGGCCTTGAAATCTATATTTACATTAAAAACTAGGAACCCCTTCCTGCCCAAATCTCAAAGATCACACCTAAAGCATCTTCTACTAAAATATTAGGCATTGATGAACCAAAAGATAGATATAGAGACAGTAAAGCAACAAGAAGACTGTCAAATTACAGCGGGGAGAGGAGGGAGATCTGGGGGAGATAAGAGATCAACTGAAGGACTTGTATACATACATATAAGTACAACCAATGGACACAAATCTCTGGGGAGGGTGGGTATGTATGGGGGGGGGGCAATGGTAAAATATGTACACAGATAATAATTTAATAAAAAAATAAAATAAAATATTAGGCATGTAGCCTTAGTGGGATCCCAGCCCATTGCCATTGAGAAGCACCTGCTAAAAAGCAAGTCATTATCATACTCTACAGTGCTCACCTCCCTCCAGAGCCACAGGGACTCTTGTGTCTGTTCTAGTTACCAGCAATAGGATAGACTCCTAGCTCATCCACAGCCACTGCTTTTGGTTATTCAGACTGCAGAGATAAAGGTTTTTCTTCCCATTCTTGCCCCTCCTCACAAATCCTCTACCACCACCTATATAACTCACACTCTGTCTTCATATCCACCCAAGCTCAGACTCTCCCTCCTGCCTCATCCATATTTACTAACAGGGAGCCCCTGGTTCCTAGCTCCTATATTCCAAAGGCATCAAGCTCAAAATGCATACCCATCTGCTGAAGGCCTACATCACCATCCACTCCATCCAGACGCAGATTTGGAACCCACAGACCTTTCTTTAGGTTACTGATGTCTTTTCAGCAAATGGCCTCATGAACCAATGCTTTGGGTTCGTCCCTCTTCGGGGGTAAAATATCATAGTAAAACCACAGGAACCGGAGAGCGATATGACATCTTTGCTGACGTGAGCACAAGAGGCTCTCATCTCCTCCTCCTCCTCCTCTTCCTCCTCCTCCCCAGGAAGTGACCTTGCAAGCACATCAACACAGACTGGTCCAGCATGGGGGGGAGCGGAGCAATGAGGCAGGCGATAGGCAGGGTTGGGGAGGACGAGAGAGCAGAGAAGGGAGGAAGAATTTAGGATGCACCAGCATGGGGAGGGAAGCAGTTTGCAGGAAGGAGTAAACGGTGTCTGCAATCGCTAATAAGCCAATTTTGAAAACGCCAAATTAAAAAAATGGTAAAGAACCGAAGGTGGTTCAAACCCTAACAAAAAATAAGGCGCACAGCACGCGCGCGCGCGCGCACACCACACACACACACACACACACACACACACACACACACACACACGCGCGCGCGCGCGCGCGCGTGCGCCAGGTGCCAATCCCGGGTCGGCCTCGGGCTGGACAGCTCTGTCCGCCCCCTCACCTGCTGGACAGCTCTCCCCGCCTCCTCCTGGAGCCAGTGCCCCCGCCAGTCGGGAAAGGATCGAGCCCAGCAAGCAGCAAGCTGCGCCCAGGCCAGCAGCCCGCACCCCCTCAGCGGCTCCAAGCGCCCCCACCTCAAGCCCGGCCCTTTCCCTGCGGACCCCTCACTCGCTCTCGAGACCTCACGCGCCCTGATGTCCCTTTAAGGGCCGCCCGAGACCCCTTCCCCTGGACCCCTGCTCCTCTCAGAGCCGGTTTCCCCCCCGGAGCCCGGTCCCAAACACCCTGCCAGGGCCTCCAGTGGCGCCGACCTCCTACCTCCCGAGCTTCGGGGGACGGGCCGGCCTGGCTGGACGTCCCCCCCCTCCCCCCCGCAGCAGAGCGTCAGCCGCTCCCCGGCGCCAGTTCCGCGTGAGGGAGGGGAGGCTGAGGGGGGCGGGGGCCCTACCACTCACCCCCGCGGGGGGACCGGGCGGCACCGAGCCGAGCGCAGAAGGGCGGGCCCGCGCTCGGGAGAAGGCGGCTACGCACACACCTATGCCAGTGGGAGTGGAGGCGCGATGGGGAGCGCGGGGCCAGCCTGGCGCCGCTGACCGCCCAGGGGAGGGGACCCACAGAAATACCTTTGGTGTCAACCGCGCAGGGATTTTTAATTCCGCATGGGAACAGAGCGCGTTCCGGCGAAATGTGGGTTCACCGGGAAGCTTCTTGTCAAGATACACAGCTCCTGACACTTTCTGCCCGGCCCCTCCCCGCGCCCTCACCTTTCTCCCCCTGCGCTCGGCTTGGAAGTGCCCAGCCGCCCAGGCTGGAGAGCCCGCAGCGCGGCGGCGGAGCCTACCACTTCGGCGGCGGCGGGGGGAACCGAGGCCGGAAGGCGCCGTGCCACTACACCGGTGAGCGCCGAGGGAAGGGGGCGTGAGCCGTGCCGCGGTGCCCGCTGGGAAATGGAGTCCAGTCCGGAGAGGAGCAGCCCCAGGCTGGGCAGCCTCCCCCTCGCCTCGGGGGGACTTTTCTTCCGGTCCCATCGTGTGGGAGCCGAGAGGAGGGATTGATGTGCCGGCGCCCACAAGAACACAGGTGCCTGCTTGAGGCGCTAGTTCTGAAAGTTCATCGCCCTCCCCCCTAACCATCATGACAGGGGAAGTGGTATCAGCACTTCATTTACCCTCGGGGCGCAACGGGGCTAGGGAAAGGAGGCTGGCACTTGTGACTTGTCTCCCTCTAATTCTGGAGGCGATCCTAAAAGACGCAGGCTTCCCTCCTCTGTGGCCCGCTCCTCCACCCCAATCCAGAAATTGTTTCTCTCATTCTGTATTCATTTTTTTGTCTTCTTGTACAAACAGTACCAGGCCGACTGTCAGGAAGGCAGCCCCGAGGCATTTATGGTCAAGCCGCAGAGTGACAGTGGAGAATTTCTCTAGGGGCCCTGTGGGGAAAACAGGAAGTGGTGGAGGCAGGATAGGCAGGGCCTGGAGGACCTTGTGCAAAGGGGGCCCCAGGTTCATCCCTTTGATCAGGTCAGTACAGTGTTCACAGGGAGCACAGCTTTGGCAGGACCCTCAGTGCCCAGCAGTCACAAAACTCGCCGCTCTCTGACTTTCCTTTAATGCCACGTGAGGATCTCTTTTTGCACTGCGCCCAGGAATGTTTGCCCTTGTCAGTCCGTTCCACCTCTAGGAGGTGGCCAGCGGGGCCTCAGCCAGCTGAGGACAGTCAGTCATTCGTGCACATCCCAGATCTCAGAGAGCAGTGGGGGAAGCTTTTTGTCCTGCAGGCGCAGCGCAAACACTTGCTCTGAGTGGACGCTGCTCAGTGTCCGGAGGCTCACCAGCTTCATTAGCATCCGTGGGAACATTAGTCGGTCCTGGGGAAGGAGAAGGACAAGTTCAGACTTTGTCTCTCCCCAGGGAAGAGGGCAAGGGTAGGGAAACTGTGGGAGAGGCGTAATCAGAGAGGAGTTCTTGGAGGGAAAGTAGGCGTGTCAGGGAATGAGCCTGTGTTAAGAAGAAAGGGCACCTAGGGGAGACTCACATGGGGGTGGTGGATGGAGACATAGGCGTGCAGGGCCTCCACATATGTGTGTTGCAGCCTCTCTACCTGGAGCTGATCCTGCACGTTGGGCCGGTCTATATTCACAAACAGAGTTGAGGAGCAAGTCTGGCCAGGGTCAGTTCCATACCCCAAACCACAACCAAAAATAGGAACATGTCCCACCCAGCCTCTCCCATCCCAAAGTAACAGCAAGGTCCTCCACCCCTACAGTGCCTGCCCTACAGGGCCTGCAGCCCTCCTCAGGGCTTGCTCATCTTCAAATCTCTTGCTCATTTTCCCTCTTGCCCTTCCTCCACACCTGCAGAAAAGATGCTAATGGCAATGAGCAAAGCGAACTCGGCATCATTGAGCTGCAGCTCATTCATGGCTCTGGAAAAGTCGAAGATGGGGTTGATGAACTCCACTTGCAGTCCTGGGGAAGAAGGAGGGAGGCTGAGTGTGTGGCATGAGTGGCAGGAACTTCCTTCTGTCCTCCAGCTCCGCAACTTAGAGAACTTCTAGGAACTCAATAAGAAGTATCCAGGGCTTTGTTCTGTAACCTCGGGCAAGTTTATTAACCTCTCCAAGTCTCATCTGTGAGATAGGAATCATCTCTGAATTTATAAGACTACACTGATGGTTAAGTGATAAAGCATGCACAGCACTTAGTACTGTGCCTGGGACACCGGATGTGTGAATTAAATAATAATAATTCTGTTATTCTCATTAAAATGATCGAGAGTCCCATTACTAGCTATAGAAGCAACTCATGTTTGTTTATAAAGAAACCTCACTGGCAATTGGCCTTACTTATTTGAATACTAGAGATACATTTCATGTTTCATATGTCGGGGGAACTTAGCAATGTGGTTGAGGGTATAGACTGTGGTGCCAGACTGCCTGGGTTTGAGTCCTGGCTCTACCATTTACTTGGCTGAGCCTTGGTTTTCCCAGCTGTAAAATGGAGATAACTTACCATAGTGGATCCTTAGACTAATGTGTGGCACATATGGTGACCACTATATAAAGTGTTTGTCAAATAAATAATACATTTATAAATATAGAACCAATCTTCTTGATGAGGAGACGGAAGTTCAACAAACCCTGACCTAAAGTCATGGCATCTAAAAAACACTTCTCCCATACACACTGTCAAAGTCTCCCCTCCCCACCCCCTCCACTAGGCTTTCTCAGATTTCTTTTAGCAACCATCTGCTAACTTTTCCATTCGAGGTTTTTTGATTAGTCACTTCCTGTATTTTCACCCTGATGTTTATCAAGTGTGTGTTGATACGTTTAATGGACAAGCCCCGTTTCATAAAGTATTTGTTGCTGAGGTATTGAGGGAGCCTTGAATTGTGCTAAACAGTCTGTTTGACAAAGAGAACAGGTAGGTTTTATGCACCTTGAAAGGGTCTGTCACTGAATGAATGCCTCCAATGGCGTCAGTCCACATCAATAGTCATGTAGAGAGGGACAGAGACCGCACAGAAAAGAGCCCCTGTTCCCTCTTCCTGAGACCTCACTGACAAAATGACAAACAAAAGGCAAAGATGATATAAAAACTGCTTATATAAATGGATCTATAAATAGGTATAGATCCAGATGCCATAAGCCTGAAAGTGTGAAGAAACACACACACATAAGAACTGGAAAGGGTTCAGAAAGGAGGATGCTGTGAAGAAGTCCATGGTTAAGAAGAACTGGGAGAAGAATCACTTGGGGAAAGGTGGTTTGCTAGAGAAAGGGGGTAGGACTGGGTTTTAAAGATGGAAAAAGTCGTGAAATTTCCCAGACATTCTGGCAGCACACAGAAGGCAAAAGGTGCTAACACAGCCCCGCCATGCCCTACAGTTAAGAGAGGCCTTCCTAGGAGTGTCACTGGGTAGCCTGGGTTGGGATAAGAGTAAGGTGACCAGATGTCCCGCTTTTGGTGGGACAGTCCCGATTTTTAACAATTTGTCCCATGTCCCATAACGTTTTAAAAATATTACAATACTATTTTTGCGTTCTATGAAAATTTTTGTTGCTCCATATAGACCAAATTTTTAATCAAGAACCCCCACCCTCCACCCCGGTCAATGGTGTCCCATTTTACCAATGTTAAAATTTGGTTACCTTAGATAAGAGGCACATGAGCTGAGTCACCAGACAGCATCAGCATAGTTTACACTCACTCACTCCATTGTTAGACTACTAGATCTCCTGTTGAGTCTCAGCTCCAGTCCCTCCATAACACCCTCAGCCTTTCATCCTTTTCTAACTCTGCTCCCATAACACAAGCATTACCAGCAATTGAGCATAAGGAAACCAACACTGCTTAGCCTGCAAGCAAGTATCAGGTAGAGAGCAGCAGTGGAAACAAATTCTTGGAGAAAACACTTCAAGTACAGGATGGGGACAGAGGCATCCACTCTGATCTTAAAGCTGCATCATCTGGACATGTTTGTTATGTATCAGCCCCAGTTCCATGGCTCTTCAGAAAGAACAAGTGAAGAAGAGTAGGGGGAAGTAGGTCCAGGTGATCCTTAAAGAGCACATCTGAGAAAGACTTGCTCATTAGTGACTACTAAATGGCTGGGTATGGTTGTTTTCCAGCTTTTTCCCTAGTTATAAAATCTTTTCTTGAAGCACACTATGTAGAAGCATGATATATAATGCAGATTTAAGTGGAGCTTCTTGTTTGGCTCCATTTAAAGTAAGAATGAAAGATATTCCTGGGCCTTCTTGTTTCTTCTCTAAATTGACACTTCTATGGAACCCTTCCCTCGGGTTCCTCGGAACACAGTTCGAGAAACACTGACCTAAGGCAACAGAGGACAGGCGTTCCATTTGAAATCGTTGAAAGAGGCCTATAAACATTCCAACTTTCTGTCTTGGAAAATTGGTGAAGCCTTCCCTTTACAGACACCCAAACCTTGGGCCTGTGACTCTGGAGTCACTATGGGCTCCAGGACAAAACATGTCTGCCCATCCAAACCAGTCCCTTTGGTCTCTCAGTTCTCACCTGCTTTAGCAAAGTCTTCCCGGTTATAACTGAAATCCTTGAGGAAGGTGATACTTTCACTCTCAGGGTTGTACCTCCGAGATGTCTCCAGAAGCATCACCTGCACACAAGTAGCAGACCTCAGACAGGGCCTCGGTGGGCTGGTCCTGGCAATGGGGCGCCTTCCATTGAAGGTCCCTATTTCCCAGTGGTGGGTCTGGCTTCCCAGCTGGCTGTCTAGGGGCCCTTCCCCACAGACAGTCCCGCTCGGGCTCCCCCTACGCCCCTCAGCCCCGCCAGCCACCTCAATAGCAGAGGTCTTCAGCAGAGCGATCTGGTCCTCCCGGCTGAGCTGCAGGAAGCCGGGCAGCTGTTTGGCAAAGTCAACGATCTCCTGCACAGAGACGATGGCCAGCTCAGTGAAGTGGGCAAAGCGCTGTTGACGGGCCTCCCAGCTCTGGGGATCTGGTGCCACGGGCCACGGCTATCCAGAAGGGCAAGGAGGGGAAAAACAAACCACTCTGAGTCAGACATCGAGAAGCCAGCTGGCACTCTGGGGACAGCCACCTCTCCCCAGGTCCCTCAGGTACCGTGACGCGAAGCTGGTCAGAGAAGGAGCGTCTGTGACACTGTTGTTGGGCAGCCACGAGCTTCTCGATCATACCCAGTTGCTCCGGGCTGAGTTGGGGCAGGACTTGAGGAGGTGAGGATGCTCTCGGGGGCACGGATGTGGCCTGAGCCTGTTCCTCCTCTTGCCGCTTCAGTTTCTTCAGTCGGATCTGTTCTTCTGACAGGACACCTAAGGGCCAGCCAGACGAGAGGAGGGAAGAGGAGGGGGAGATGAGAAGCAAGGAAGGGCCAGAGGGGGACTTTCAGGCTCCAGAAAAGCAGAGATCACAGGGTATAGGCAAGGAAGGAAATTTAATCCATATTTAGGGACCATATAGGAAGGCCCTATAGGCTGAGGTGCCTATCTGCCCTCACACCGGGGTACCCACATGACCCTTCTTTCCCATCAGCCCCTTCCCCTTTCCTGTCCCCAGGTACTCACACTCTTCCCGCATGCCAGCCTGGCGGCATTTGCGAAGGCGACACTCCTGGCACTTGCGACGCATGTAGGTGTCCATGGGGCAGTGGCCCCCGCTGTGGCAGATGTAGCGCGCACCTTTGATGACACTGCGGCGGAAGAATCCCTTGCAGCCCTCACAGCTCAGCACGTTGTAGTGGAAGCCAGAGGCCTTGTCCCCACACACACTGCACAGCTCATTCCCCAGCATTTTGGGGGCTGGCCCCTTTTTCCGCTTTTGTGGACGGAGCTCTGGATACAGGGAAGTGCCTTAATGTTCTTCTCCAAGAAACAGGCTTGATGCCCAGCTGGCCACTGCCCTGAGCCCTCAGTGACCATCATGCCCTTTTTAACACACAGTCTAGTCTCTCTATTATAAGAAAGTACCTCTCATGTGCCAAGTGCTATTTATTATGTCCCAAGTACTGTCTCAGCCTTGTATAATATATGCATTGATCCTGATGACCACCAAAAGAGATAGCTACTGCCGAAACCGGTTTGGCTCAGTAGATAGAGCGTCGGTCTGCGGACTGAAAGGTCCCAAGTTCGATTCCGGTCAAGGGCATGTACGTTGGTTGTGGGCACATCCCCAGTAGGGGGTGTGCGGGAGTCAGCTGGTCGATGTTTCTCTTTCATTGACGTTTCTAGCTCTCTATCCCTCTCCCTTCTTCTCTGTGGAAAAATCAATAAAATATATATTTAAAAAAAAAATAGATAGCTACTATTATCATTTCCATTTGATGAATAAGGAATCTGAGGCTCAGAAAGGTCTTAGGTAGAGACAAAACGCACAGATCACTCAGGTCTAGTTGACACTAAAGCTTTGGTACTTAAACGTGATTTTATATGGTAAAGAACCCCAAGATGCCCCTTCCAGATCCAGGGAGCCCCTACATCCTCCAAATCCAGCAGTTCCTCACCTGTAGGCTCTGGAGGGGCCTCCACTCCTGGGAGCAGGGCTGTGGGATCTGCCACCTCCAGCCCCACCCCTGAAGGGCCCCCCGCTGGCCGGGGCATGCTGGCTTCCTCCCTGAGGATGCAGTCGCTGCCTCTCAGCACCCGGCTGTTTGCATCTTGGGCATCTGGTTCCCACAGCTCCACCGCAGAGTCTGAGCCAGGAAAGAGGAACGAGGGAAGGATGAGGAGGGGAAGTCTCAGATCCTCCCCCTCCACTTCCACTGCATCCTGCCTGGGAAATGGCACACTTATCTCCACCCATAGGGGGCAGCAAAACACCAGCTCAGGCTTCAGACCCTGGAGTCGGTGTGGGCTCCAGGGCTAGTCCTGCAATTCCCTGCACCTCAATACTTCATATGAGGATGTTAACCTTTGTCCCCTTGGGGGCTGGCATGCATCTAGTTCAGAGATCAGACAGAACCCTTAATTAAAAGTCAAACTGAATAAGCACTGTACATGCCCTCTCCCCAGCAGCAAGTCCAGACAGAAGGATCAGCAGGTGCCTGCCTGCAAGGGCCAGGCACCGGAACCAGGATGAAGGCAGTCTGGGCAGAAGGAGGCAAGGATGGCTCTAGACTACTCTCTGGGGAAAGGCAGGAGGCAGGCAGAGAAGAGACCCTGACTGAGGGGAGAGGGCTGGAGTAAAGAAGCTTACCAGGAGAAACATTAGGCACAGGGGCCTCCAGCCACAAGGACATCTCTTTCTCTTTCTGGAGCCCTGGACATTACCAAGGGACTGTCCTGCAGGAACAACTCAGGTTATACTCTTCCAGAACTGGGCTCCTTCTTTATCAGTACAACATATTAGCTAACATTTACTTTATATACATCAGCCTGTGCTAAGGCTTTCCATGCCTTGCTCATAGTGTCCCTCTGAGGTCAGGAGTATTCTTCAGCCCATTTTACAGATGAGAAAACTGAGCTTCAAAGAGATTAAGAAATTGCCTTTGGCCACACAGTTAGGCAGCAAAGACTCCGCCTCTGATCTCTCTGACTCCAAAATTTGAGCTCTCAGCCACCGTGCCACTCTTTCTCCCCAGGGCCCACCTCCTGGCCATCGGGGAATATTTGGGTGCATCTGCTCTGGTTCTGTTAGAGCCCCTTCCCCCTCACTCCAGCACTGGGGACAGCCCAAGTTGGCAGGACCAGGCCATGGGATGGAGGCTCTATCCAGTGAAACATGCTGCCTGTTAAATAACCCCACTCCTGCCACTTCCCAGGATCCCAGCACAAACCTGTGGCTTCCCAGAGTTGCCCCTTCCCAGGACCTCCTCCCTCACAGCCCCTCCGGAGTTATTCTGGGACTAAATGGAGTCCTGTCCAAGCTTCCATCACTATCACCATCCTTCACTTTCCCCCAAAGAGACCCCTTTCCAAGATCCATAGGATCCCCACTCACCCCCACGCACCAAACACACACACACACACACACACACACACACACACACACACACACACACACACGGCCCCAGGCAAGTGCTGAGGGGCCAACCCACCGAATGTCTGGGCCGGCAGACTTCCTGGCTGGGGCAGTCTCTGGAGCCCCCTTGCTGAGAGAGGAGGACGGTGCAGGCTCTGTCCAGAGGCCTCCGCGGTGGCTGAGAAGCCGTAGCTGAGCTAGACAGGGGCCCGGAGCCCCAGGGAAGTAATATGAGGGAAAGCTGAGGGGAGGGGGGGGCTGCCAAGGGGTTGGGCCACTGCTCCTTCTAGCCAGGCAGAGCCGGAGTCAGAGCTGGCGCCAACCGACTGACGACCGACTGGAGCCTTGGCCTCCTCACCCCCGCCCACCGGGCAGCCAGCTTCCCCACCAGGCTGACTCCTCCCCAGCTAGCCACCCCCTCAGCCCAGCGCCATCCCTGCTCTCCTGCCCCCAACCACAACGGTCGCATTTCCCTGCAGACCAGCCCAGTTCTCCCCTTCCTCTGCTCACCCAGGCTGCTCTTACAGGACTGCTTCCCAGGCACCCCCACCCGGATCCCGGCAGCCTCCAGAGCTGGTGTCCCCTCCCCTCCATAGACATTTCGTGGAGCAAAGGTCCCAGCACAGCCTGGAATTGCAACACGGGGCCCCAGCCTGCTTTCCCAGCCTCCCTCCTCCTCCCCTGCCTCTGGGAAGGGGCCAAGAAGCTCTCTCCACTGGCCCAGCCTCAGAAAAGCTGGTGGAACTCCCCGGTTGGAGAGAGCAGGTGCTGAGCCTTCCTGGAGATCTCTGAATGGGGTGCCCTGTGAGGGCTACCAGCAGGGGAGAGGCCAGGAGAGAGAGAGGAGCAATGGCCAGTGCCAGGGTGGGGGTAGAGAGATGGCAGGTGACCCAGATGCTAGCCCAGGATGGACCTGGGAAGGTATACAAGTTCTCTCATCCAGGGAACACTTCCTTATGAAATGACAGACTCTGCGCAGCACCTGTTGAGCCTTCCTGCCCTGTTGCCTGGAATATGAGACCCATCCCTGAAGGTAGACACCATGTTTAATTGATTTTATCTCCCTTGTAGCCCATGGATCAGAGCCTGGCATAGTTTAGGCAACAGAGTAGGTACTGCACTCCTGTTCATTAAATAAATAAGCAAGCAAGAAAAAAAATATATGATCCTCCTCTATTTTATACTTGTTAGCTCTAGTCAATTTCATTTCAGTGTATTTAGTTTTTGGGCCCTAGGCTCAGATTTCGGGTTCAAATTCTGGCCTTGCCTCTTATTAGCTGTATGATCTGGATTAAGCAAGTTACTTAATATCTCTGAACCTCAATCTCCCTATCTTTAAAATTGGGATAATAATAATGGTTTTTGCCACCTAAGGTTGTCATGAGAATTAATATGCCCTAGCACAATGTGTAGCCCGTAGTGAGTGTTTAAGAGATGGCAGCAGTTATCACTACATTTCCAATCCTTTCCGCTCTGGGACTTACCAACACTTTGCATCTGTACATTGTTAACCTCCCAGTGCTTGTTTCCATACACAAACCCCTCACTATCTCTTTGGTCCTCAGAGCAGCCCCAGGAAGGAGGGTAAATAACACAAGCTCCATTTTACAAAGAATAGAAAGCTCATGGGAGAGGCTTCTCACAGTGGCCAAGCTGAGATCAAAATCCAGATGTCCTCACTCCGGTCTCTGCACTCTTTCTTTCTCCTGCCTCAGAGTCCAGGAGAGTCTTATCTTGTTGCCGTTCAGGTCTGCTGGATCAGTGAAATGTGGAGCTGGGAGAAGCTGGGAGGGATGGGGAGAGGACTGCAGTAGAAGAGGCAGAGAGCTCTGGGGATGCTTCAGTCCAGATGTGGCAGGGGAAGAGTGGAGGTTACTGCTGGCTGATCACCCCCTGCCCCACTCCCAGCTTCCTGCTCACAGGCTCTTCCTGTTTTGCTGTGAACTCCAGTTCCCATGGGCCCTCCATTAAAGCATAGGATAGGGGGCCAGGGCAGGCAGCCAGAGGGACAGAAGCAAATGAACAGGGCACCAGGAGAGAGGACAGTGAGCAGGGAAAGAGTGGATGGGGGTAGGGGGGAGAGCAGGCTTGGAGGTCAGGGGAAGCAGAAATAGAACAGGAGCTTGGTGAAAGATGGGAGGAAGCACACAGGGTGGGGAAGGGGGAATAGGTGGGGGTGGGGTGAGGAGCACAAGCTTGGGATGACGCAGGCTGGGTGGTGTTGCAAAATCTGCCCATGTGCTTATTTTCACATCTCAGAAAAGCCCCTCTGACACCCACATCTCAAAGTTCTGCCTCCAGCTTTTGCTCTTGTTCCTTTTCATCACAAGGTCATCCCCTCGCAAGGCCCCCACCCTGGTCTGGGCATCTCTGAGTCATGAGCACAAGGCTCTCCATTCCTCTTGGTGTGTGTTCCCTCCCTGATTTTCGCAAGGCTCCAGCTGTCCTGGGAAACCAGGACTCAAGCTCCTGGGAAACTGGAACTGTCCCACACCAGCACCCACATCATCCATCCAGCTCCTTTCTCTCTCCTTTCCCAGCAGCTCCAGCACAGGAGCATAATCAGAGATGTCACTGAAACGCCTGCTTGCAAGGAACTCGGAATGGAACACTGCTCTGAGGCCTGAAGACTCATCTTCTCTCGTCCACTCCTAACCCTCAACTCCCTAGACTCCCCAGAGCCCAGGACCACACACAAGTCCCATCTGGAGCCTTCTGACCCAGGCTAGAGCCAGTTGCTGACCATGCATTTCAGGGCGCCATCTCCCCCATGCCATGCCAGCCTCAGCCTTGTCTTAAGTAGAGGAGGGAACATCACCAGTGCTATACAAAGCCCCCACCTAGAGGGGGTTGGGGAGAAAAATGAGAGAAGACCCAAATCTGTAGTCAGTTCCTCCAAAGAGTTTCCAGAGACCAACCACTGGACTTCTCCCCCAGGCCAGGGCAAGTAGTCAGGTGACCAGCAGCTGGAATCAAATGTCCCACCAGCCCACAGATGTCAGGTACAAAACCTCCCAGTTGCCAAAACCGATTTGGCTCAGTGGATAGAGCGTCAGCCTGCGGACTGAGAGGTTCCGGGTTCGATTCCGGTCAAGGGCATGTACCTTGGTTGTGGGCACATCCCCAGTAGGGGTGTGCAAGAGGCAGCTGATCGATGTTTCTCTCTCATCGATGTTTCTAATTCTCTATCCCTTCTTTCCCTTCCTCTCTGTAAAAAAATCAATAAAATAAATTTTTTAAAAAAACCCTCCCAGTCCCATGGGCCTTTCCTATCTTTCCTTAGCTCCTAGAGGAGGCACCATGCCTAGGAATGCCTTCAGTGATCTTTCAAGTCCCATTTCTGACTCCCAGGACCTCCAGTTTTTTCATTGGAGCAAGAGGAAACTTGAAGCAAAAATAGGAGCATTCACCAGTCCTATGTACTACTGAATAATTCTCTGAAAGTACTAAAATTCCCATAAAGCAGGCCACGAGGTAGAGTTTAGAGAAACAGACTAGGGCAACTGCTTTTTGCTCTCTCCTTCCGCATTCTGAGAAGGTGAAAAGTGTGGGAGCATCTTGCAGATTCCTCAAATGACTTCTATCCAACCCCCCAATCCCAAGATTGAACCCAAGAATTCCTGCTTCCCAGACCAATGAGTTCAGAGATGATATAGAAGACAGAAGAAGACACATAAACCCCACTACATGTATTATTTATTCTCATATATAGCTTAGGAGATAGTTACTAGCAAGGGGGTAAATATCAAGTTTGGATATAAGTATGGCTGATTCAAAGATCAAATTCAAACACAAAAAACTTCCTCACTCTATTACACAAACTACCTCCCCAAATGGAAAAAGTGGTTAATTCACCTGGATTTAGGTTCACTTCTGCCAACACTGATTTCCAAACCTGGCCTCACTTTCAGAGATTCTGACTTATTGGTCTGGGGTGGCCTATGCACCTACCCATCTACACTGTATGTGTGTGTGTGTGTGTGTGTGTGTGTGTGTGCATCTGTAGTTAGGAACCAAGGTATGGGACCACAGAATCACCTGGTACAAGATATACAGAAGCTAGGGGTCCAGAAACCAGGGCTCAGCTACTGGCTCTACCATGTACTTGTGGGGTGACCCTCACCCTTCCTGAAGTTCTCACTATAAAAAGCAGAATATCTGCTCCATCAATCCCTCCTAACATGGGATACTTGCAGGCACATAGGATATAGGCATACTTGAGCAAGTGGGATGAAGAGCAAATGATGAGTTTGAGGAATTCTCATTCTACTTGCCAACATTTACATTCTAAAATAAAAATGGTTTGGCTAGTTTGCAAGCAAAGTAGAGGCATAATAAAAGAAAATACTCAAAAACTCTAATAGCCAGTACCTCAGCTATAGCCATGCCCATTCAACCCCACCAATACGAAGATTTTATTAGAAATCTCTTTATTGAAGGTATTTGGCACCACTGAATACAGTTTAGCAATGTAGTTTGAATAACCCGTAAGAAACATCCCATTATAAAGACTGGGGATCTGAAAACTTGAGTTTTAATTCATTCTCCTAAACTGTGTGACCATGGCCAATCACTTCCTCTCTAGGTTTGTTTTCTTATCTGTAAAGAGAACTAGATAGAATCAGGAGTTCAAAGATGCAGACTTATGAAGCTTCTCTGTGGTCTTTGTGAGCCACTTGGGATTATTTTCCAAATCCCTCTTGTGATTGTGTGTGTGGACATTTTTAAAAAATATATATTTTATTTATTTTTTACAGAGAGGAGAGAGTGATAGAGAGCTAGAAAAATTGATGAGAAACATCGACCAGCTGCCTCTTGCACATCCCCTACCAGGGATATGCCCACAACCAATGTACATGCCCTTGGCTGGAATCGAACCTGGGACCTTTCAGTCCGCAGTCCAACGCTCTACCACTGAGCCAAACCGGTTTCAGCTATGTGAACATTTTTTGATGAGGGGACTAAAATCTCATCTGACTCATAAAGGAGTTTATGACTAAATAACAACTACTTAGCTACCAGGACTTCAGCTCTCATATTCTATTCACTACTTCACAACAACTCTGGAAGCAAAATTTAGATCCTGATATATATATATATATATATATATATATATATATATATATATATATACACACACACACACACACACACACACACACACTAAGTCATTTAATCTGGAGTCCTAGGTCAAGATCATGACCCTGCTTTTTTCCTATATAGTTCTGATCAGGTTTTATTTTTGTGATCCTCTGAAGTATTTTGCTTCTAGTGAGCAGTTTAGATCAAAGCATCTCAAGGGCCTATGATCTGACCTCCTCCTAGAGCTGTGAATCACTCCCACCTCAGAATCACAAAGCCTTGAGACCAAACTAGCTGCACTGGGACCCTAATGGCCAATGTCAGGAGGGCCTCTGATTCTGCCAAAATGCCACCTACTCCCAGTTGGTAAGTTCCTTCCCTCTCCCCCCTATACATCTTCCCATTGGGCAGAAATTCCTCCCTTAGGGATTCACTGCTTAGGTTTGGCCAAGCCTGAGCACTGTGCAACCCAACTCCTTGGGGAAGAGGCATGACCTTCTGATTCTAATGAACTAAAACTAGGAATGGTGGGAGGACAGGGAAACGACTGGAAGGTGGAGTGATGAGGGGACTAAAATCTCATCCGACTCATAATGGGCATGAGCAGTAGGATAGACTGGGACCAACTTCAAGGGCATAGGAGTTCAAAGGGCTGTTTACCCGCTGTGTCCTGCACCTCAAACAAGACCTCTTCCGGGGAACAGAACCGGACCAAGGCTCAAATTCCACCCGAAGGCAGTGATGTGGAGGGGACGCCCTATACCACCCCTCGTCCCAATTCCGCATCCGCTGCGGCTCTGTGGTCAAGCCAGGCGGCCCCCGGCCCAGGGGAGGAGGGGGCGGAGGAGAGGGGAGGAGGGCCTCGCTCTCCCGGCCACTGGCCCGCCCAGGGCAAGCGCCACTCGGGCCCAGCTTCTCCGCGCCGGCGGAGGCAAACCAGAGCTCAGGGCTCCCTTTCCCAAGACAAGGTCTCCAGGCCCTTTCTACCGCGCGAGGTCGCGTTAAAGCCCACCCTCCTCTGCCCCGGCCGGGTCGCGAGTCTCCTCCGAGCATGCCTTCCCGGATTCCTCCTCCTCCAAACCTTCCCTCCCAAGCCCTCCTTTAGCAAGATGGTGGCGAGTGCACTTCCGGCGAGTGTCCTCCAGGGCGCGTCCGGGCGGCTGCTGCAGGCGCCGCCCAACGGGTTCCACCCCCTTTGCTGCACAGATGATAACGGTGATGGCGGGCGGACTGCTTGGCTGGAGCCGGGCGGCTCTCCTCCAGCTTCTTCTCGGCGTGAACCTGATGGTGATGCCCGCCATCCAGGCCCGGACTCTGCGCTTCGTTACCTTGGTAATGAGAGACAGGGTCGCCCCAGGGTCGCCAGAGCTCGAAGGGCACGGGCTCGCCGGAGGAGGGAGGGGCAGGGTTTGTGTTGGGGGTGCGGGGACTGGAGGAGGAGCTGGATTAGGAGACTCCTGGCCTGCGGTTTTGCGGGCTCAGGGTTGGGGGTCGGGTTCGGAGGTGATGTGGAGTCGCAGGGGATGGGGGTAGATGAGCTGCAAGGAGTTTTACATCGGGGAATAGGTCCGGTGAATCTGCCCTGAGAAGGATGTAAATGATTAAAAGACCCACCCCCTAGAAATCTTTAGTGATTTTTGCAATCCTCCCACCATCTGCCTTGTTTTTATTTCTCTTTTCCTTTCCCTTTGGTTTTGCCTATGATCTCCGTGGTCATTGCTTAGCCTTGTTAGACTCTCTGGAACCTGGAAGAAGTTACTGACTTTTGAGTTGGGGTCTTTTGCAATGGGTAGAGTTAAGGCTTCCCAGCGGGATTGAGGCTTCTCTCTCCAGCATGGGGTAGAGGTGGGCTCTGTGTCCCCATCAAGGAGACCCTTCTGACCCGTAGGCAAACCATTTTCTTTTGCCAGCTGTACCGACATGGAGACCGGACACCAGTGAAGACATTTCCCAAAGACCCCCATCAGGAAGACGAATGGCCTCAAGGGTTTGGTCAGCTCACCAAGGTGGGTCAGAAGGCAGCCCTTCCTCAGTATGAGCTGTACCACGAGTGACCTCTAGGGCAGGCTACAGAACTTGGGGCCCAGCCGAAACCGGTTTGGCTCAGTGGTAGAGCGTTGGACTGCAGACTGAAAGGTCCCAGGTTCGATTCCAGTCAAGGGCATGTACATTGGTTGCGGGCACAACCCCCATAGGAGGTGTGAAAGAGGCAGCTGGTCGATGTTTCTCTCTCATCGACGTTTCTAGCTCTCTATCTCTCTCTCCTCTCTGTAAAAAATCAATAAAATATATATCTTGGGGCCCAGCAAACTGCCATGTCCATTGTGGGTGTTGACTTTGACTAGATTTCTTGCCAAAGACAATGCCCCACACAACTGGCTACTTAATAAATGACTCCTGGACAAGCCCTTCCCACCCAGAACAGGTAATCCAATTCCATCAAGCAGCTATCTTTAAACAATGTGTCCATTTACATCTGAATGGCTACGCCTTTTGATAGCCTTAAGGGCAAGTTTACATGTAAACAAGTTTGCTTCTCAGTTCCCGGGGCAGAAAAAACAAGGTTTAAAATTATTATATTTTAAAATTTATTCTTAAAAATATAAAAGTTTATTAATTCAAAACAAAACAAAACAAGGAAATTAAAAAACCTGACGAACTATGTTAACTGTTGATTGTAGTAGAATCAGGGATACGGGAGGGGAGTGGACTGACAATTCTGGGGGGGGGAAATGGGAGTGGTGGATGCGGGAAGAGACTGAACTGAACTGTGCACCTATGGATGGGGACAATGGGGGGTGGGGAAAGGGCAGAGGGTGGGGTGGGAACCTGGTGGAGGGGGGAAGAAGTGAAGAACCTTTGTAATAATATGAACAATAGAGATTGATTTAGTTTATATATGTATAAACTAAATGATTCCTGGGATCCCATGAACACACTCCTACTTCCAGCCAGGGGTAAACTGAAAAGCAAAAGAGCCTAAACCCCGTGGGATTTGTGAGCCATCCCTAATCCTTGGGTTTGCCCACAGGAGGGGATGCTACAGCACTGGGAGCTGGGCCAGGCCCTGCGGCAGCGCTACCGTGGCTTTCTCAACACTTCTTACCACCCTCAAGAGGTAAGGCTGGGAGCTAAATGTGCAAGGAGAATGGGATCTGCTGTGCTCACCCTCAGTCCTCAGGGAGCCTAAGGGTGAGGCTGGGCATTGCCCGCCCCACCCCCATGCATTTTTGGTTACAACTACAGGACAAGACACCCAAGGGCTGTCTAGAACAAAACCCTCGAGGCTGAGTTGCCCCTGCATGGGTGGGAAGAGGCAAAATTTATCAAGCATCCAAGTTCAGACTGAAGGAAGGGTCTGGCAGAGCAGTGTCTGGCTTTGTGAAATAACTCAGGTTTTCCATTCAAGAGACATATTGAGTACCTCCAGTGGGCTAGCATTTTGCACATAATGGTATACTACCCACTTATGATCTCTGTCTTTGTGGAACTTTGAATGGAAGATTGGCAAGTTTTTTGGCTCCTTAATCCCTTCTCTTCCCTCCTCCCACCCCCCCAAGGATGGGGATAGCTGTTCCTTTGGTTACCACTCTCAACCACAGCTGTCTCCAGTCCCTAGATGTTATTGTTCCCTTGAGGATCAGCTCTGTCTTGATCTTGCCTATCCCCATAGCTTTCTCCTTTTCCCATAAGCAATTATCTGTTCCTTGTCTTATTTCCTCTCCCTGGCCTCCAAGCCAGTTTATAAAAGGGGGTGTGAATGGAATAGTTTCCAAGGATCCTGGTCTATAGGGAGGCAGGATAAAACTAGACAGACAGACAGACCAGAGAGCCTTACTGACTAAGCACTTGGGACTGGGAGGAGCGTTTGAACTAGAGCCATTCCCAAAGGAGCCATTCTCAGAGTAGTGATAGCTAGCTGCCAGCTGAGTGTTTGGACCTTTGCTGGGAAGAAGAATGGGGAAGGCCAGAGAGGGTGCAAGGGCCAGATGCATGGTGGGATTACAATTTGTTCAGTGACCGACCAGCAAGAACAGGTTCTCCCCTTAGGACCTCACTGAGGAGCGAAAGCTGCTCACCCCACTCCCACAAGAGGAGATTCATGTTGTCATGTCATCTCTGCAGGTTTATGTGCGAAGCACTGACTTTGACCGTACTCTCATGAGTGCTGAGGCCAACCTGGCTGGACTTTTCCCTCCCAATGGGATGCAGGTTTTCAATCCAAACATCTCTTGGCAGCCTATTCCCGTCCACACTGTGCCCATTGCTGAGGACAGGGTAAGACTGGCCAGCCCTTCGCTGAAGGCCGTGAGAGGGGCAGCTCTGGCTATGGGCCTGCTGACCACTGATTCCCTCTCTGCCTCTGCTTCTCCCTTTTGGTCTGCAGCTGCTGAAGTTCCCATTGGGCCCGTGTCCCCGTTATGAGCAGCTGCAGAACGAGACCCGGCGGACACCAGAGTATCAGAATGAGAGTATTCAGAATGCAGTGAGTGGGGCTGAGGTGGCGGTCACCACATGATCCTTTGTCCCAGGGCAGGATTGATCCCCTGATCCATTTTTCACAGCAATTTCTGGATATGGTGGCCAACGAGACAGGGCTTACGGACTTGACACTGGAGACCATCTGGAATGTCTATGACACACTCTTCTGTGAGGTGAGCCTGCCTAGGGTCCGCAGTGTGACCCTTTCCTCTTCTGCTCAGCAGGCTCAGGTGACCAGAACATGGAGACACAAAGTCTGGCTACCATTCCCACTGGGGAGATCCAGGCCAACCGCCTGCTTCTTGTGAAACAAGGGGACTTCCCTCAAGGGTGAAAAAGAACCCCAGAGTGGGAACTAGCTTATTAACTGTCAGCAGTTCCTGCCCTTCTCCACCCAGAACGCTGGTGGTATCTGACTCCGTTCTGCTAAGTCACGCTTTTTTGTGCCTGAGCCTCCTTCCCCGTGCCCTGCAGCCTCAACACTGTCCGCCATGTCTCCTGGTTCCGGTCCCTCTGCCTCAACTCTCCTCTCCCTCCCCTCTCACACACACACAGGCACCTTCTCACTTGGGAAGAGAGATGCCTCGGGAGAGGCTCCGGCCTAGGCCGGGGAGCTAACCTGCCCGCTGCCATACGCAGAAAACACATGGGCTGGTCCTGCCGCCCTGGGCCTCACCCCCAACCATGCAGCGTCTGAGCCGGCTAAAGGACTTCAGCTTCCGCTTCCTCTTCGGGATCTACGAGCAGGCAGAGAAGGCCCGGCTTCAGGGGGGTGAGTGACAAGAACAGCATGTCATTCCCTTCCTCAGGACCCTACCGCATTAGGGGCCTTCTCACCCACCTCTCCACCTGAAATGTCCTCTGCTCTTTCAGTACGCCTCGGGTCCCCCTCGTCATCCTGTGAGTCCCCAAAGTCTCCCTAATTCGCCAAATGCTTACCACATTTGCACTGGACCAATGACCACAATCAGGCCCACGTGCTTCTTTTCTGCCTTTCATGTTCTTACCTTTCACTCATGTCACAAGACCCGTCCCACTTAAAGGAATTCCCACCCCCAGAGAACCACTGGGGGCCCTTCCAAAGGAGGCTGAGAGCAATGCCAAGGAGCAGCCCAGGGAGAGCTGTCAAGCCCTTCTGACATGGCAGGGTTCTCAGAGCCTGCATATGGCAGGGTTCCCCCTGCCGGGAGCCACCGCCTTGTGTGTCCTGGAGCGGCCTTCAGTTTACATTTGTACTGACTTGGAGGCCTTCTTCAAACATGGGCAGGGCCTCGCAGTTCATATTTATCTTGCTTCCTTCTGTAAATCTGATAGTTGTCAGAGAGCAGGGTGTTCCTCTGTGGTTCCCAAGCACCTAGAGAGTTCTCTGTATCAGTGATCAGACCTAAGACTAGCAGAGGGTGACAGGACCACCGGCAGAGCTGAGCAGAAGACGGTGATGGCCGTAGCCACTGACACTGGGGGTTTTTCTCCCTCAGGAGTCCTGCTGGCTCAGATACGGAAGAACCTGACACTGATGGCCACGTCCTCCTCCCACCTCCCTAAGCTGCTGGTTTACTCCGCGGTGAGCTCCCTTAGTCCCCGGCATGCTAACGTCAGACAAGCAGCTGGACCTCTATCTATTCAGTGCTGGGGAGCAGGGTGCAGGGGAGCATGCTAATCAGGAGCCCTTCTTCCTTACAGCATGATACCACCCTGGTTGCTCTGCAAATGGCATTGTTTGTCTACAATGGTGAACAAGCCCCCTATGCCTCCTGCCATATATTTGAACTGTACCAGGAAGACAATGGGTGAGTGGAGCTACTAGTCTGCCCTCTGGAAGGGCACTCGTATGGTGGCTATGGGCACCCTAAGGGCTCCATAACAGGCCTGGTGGACAGCCTCCACCTTGTCTCCCATCATCCCCTCAGGAATTTCTCAGTGGAGATGTACTTTCGGAATGAGAGTAACAAGGCGCCCTGGCCACTGAGCCTGCCTGGCTGCCCTCACCGCTGTCCACTGCAGGACTTCCTGCGTCTCACAGAGCCTGTTGTGCCCAAGGACTGGCAGCAGGAGTGCCAGCTGGCAGCTGGTCCTGCAGACACAGGTGAGCTGCCGCCTGCCTCTGTGCTAGGCATGTCCCAGAACAACTTGCAGTTCCTATCCACAAGAGAGCGCTCATGCTTCCAGCCATCTTATTGCATTTCCCTAGACAGTTTACTACCCAACGTGAGACCGACTCACCTTTTCCCTAACACGCTCAGGGGATGCTCTCACTTCTTATAGCACTGAGAAAATAAAAGCAATCAGGAGAGAATCGTCCCATTTTCCCACCACCACGTCTTCCGGCTGCTCCTGGTGCAAGCTGCTACTTAAGGCCCTGCCTCTCCACTTACACTCTGGGCTCATCTGTTCTCCACAAGGACCTCTGATGTCTCAAGTGTTTCCTCTCTGCTGGATCAGTCTCATCTCAAAAGCCTAATAAAAACCTCTCAGACCCCCATCTTTCTCTGTTCCCTGTTAGAGCGCAATCCTTCAGAGTTGCCTAGATTCTGCTTTCGATTCCTCACTGTCCATTCTCAGGTGCACACTGGACAGTCTGGTGTCGCCTTTCACTCCATTAACTTCTGTTAGTGACCTCTGACCAAAGCCAGTGACCAGTTCTTAGTCAGCTTCTCTCGCCTCTCAGCAGCATTATATAACTGGTCACACCTTCCTTAAACATTTCCTTGACTTTTAACTTATAGGCCCCTTCCTTACTGGCTTCTCCCCACTAAACAGTGCATGGTTCAGGGCTCGTCCTGGTCCTTTTCTCATCTCTGCCCCCTCCCAAGGTGATCTCATCCAACCCATGGTTGTATGCACCAATGCTAAGTTCTGTCTTTTTGTGATTCCCAGATTCATAACCTCTTCTCTAAGCTAGACTGACCTATCCAGCCAGCTGCAGCCTTGAGATCTCATGGATGTGGCATCTCAAAGTCGATATCTGAAACCAAATGTTCTTCCCCCCAAAATCTGTTCTCCCTCCAGGTTTCCCCATCTAAGTAAATGCCCCACCAGTTACCTAGTCACACAGTATAATCCTAGGATTTATCTTGAATACTCTTTCTTAGACCCCACAACCAATCCACTAGGAGATTCTAGCATGCCAACCTTTAAAATACATGTTCTTACTGTTAATAGTATTAACTCACTATCTGATTTCTCTTTGTTCATTGCATTTACTTCTAAAATGGAATACCAGCCTGTGAGGTCCACTTGGATTTGGCTCTGGCTCTCTGTAGGAGACGGTCAGCAATTCTCCACCTTGTGTCTATAGAACTGTCTTTTGGATCTGAAGCTTTTCACATGTGGGGAAAGGCAGCATGACCCCATGGCTGGAAATCTGGGTAGTGTAACTTTGTGGCTAAGAGCACAGATGTTGTCAGACCTTGTTTTGACTCCTGCCTGCCCTTTTGTAATTAGACTTTTGGCAGATTGTTTAACCTCTTTCAGAACTTTCATTTTATCAATTATAATAAAAAGTCTACCTTGAAAAAACATACACAAAACATGCTCTTGCTCCCTAGTCCAATCTACCATCATCTCTTGCCTGAACTACTTATGAGCTTCTTAATGTTCTGAGTCTCTTCTTGTCACCAGTCTCTCAGTGAAGCAGAGTTAAATTCTTTTTTTAAAAAAATATATTTTATTGTTTTTGTACAGAGAGGAAGGGAGAGAGATAGAGAGCTAGAAACATCGATGAGAGTCATCGATCAGCTGCCTCTTGCACACCCCCCACTGGGGATATGCCCGCAACCAAGGTACATGCCCTTAACTGGAATCAAACCCGGGTCCCTTCAGTCCCCAAGCCGATGCTCTCTCCATTGAGCCAAACCAGTTTCGGCCAGAAGTTAAATTCTTAAAAAAGTAAGTTAGGCCTTAGCTGGTTTGGCTCAGTGGATAGAGTGTCAGACTGTGGACTGAAGGGTCCTGAGTTCGATTCCTGTCAAGGGCATATGCCCAGGTTGTGGGCTTGATCCCCAGTAGGGAGTGTGCAGGAGGCAGCTAGTCAATGATTTTCTCTCATCATTGATATTTCTATCTCTCCCTCTCCCTTCCTCTCTGAAATCAATAAAAATATATTATTTTTAAAAAAGTAAGTTAGGCCACAGCTGGTTTGGCTCAGTGGACAGAGCATTGACCCTCAGACTAAAAGATCCTGGGTTCAATTCCAGTCAAGGGCACTTTTGTCTCTCTCATATTGATGTTTCTCTCTTTTCCACTTTCTCTAAAAAAAAAAAAAAGGAAAAATGTCCTTGGGTAAGGATTAATAACAAGAAAGTCAGTCAGTTCACATTAGTACTTCTGATTCTTCCAGTGGGTTCCCATCACATTTGGAATAAAATCCAAGTTCTTTACCACTTGGCCTGGCCATCCACTCTCATCTCCTACCTGTCCATCACTAATCTACTCTATGATACCTTCTTGATGATCCCAGAACATGCCAAGCTAGTTGCACATCAGGGCCTTTTATGCTCACTTACTGTCTACTCTCCACCCTCAGCACAGGACTCTCTCCTCTCAGATCTCGTATGTCTCACTGGCTCCAGGTCTCTGCTCCGATTATCCTCAGTGATACCTTTCCTGACTGACCTCTCCAACCTCTCCCCATTACCTTGCTTTGCTTTATGGCATTTGTCACTAACTGTGGATATCCCCATTGTAAGAACAGCTCCTGGCATATGGTAGGCCATCAGATATTTGTTGAATGAACACTGACATGTCTTTTCTCTCCCTTATCCCCGTGCCCAGAGGTGATCGTGGCCTTGGCTGTATGTGGCTCCATCCTTTTTCTTCTCATAGTGCTGCTCCTCACCGTCCTCTTCCGGATGCAGGCCCAGCCTCCCGGCTACCGCCACGTTGCAGACGTGGAGGATCATGCCTGACAACCACTCAGCCCCCTCCCCTCTGCCTCTTAGGGGAGGTGGGTTTGGCCTTCACTCCTGACTGCTGCTGCTCCCTAGCCCATGAGCAGGAGGCCTTGGGTTGGGCCTTCCTCTGATTACCCCAACTTAGACGAAAAAGTGGGATGAACAAGCTTGGCACCTGCCACTCAATATTCACGTGCCCGATGTTTCCCAAGTACTGTGCTGGATGTTGGCTCTCTCCAAATAGGATCTGCCGCCTCCATGCTCCCTAAGGACCTGATATGTAGACAAGGTTTAAAGTTTCACTCAGGACCTGGGATAAAAAACTGAAGTTGGTGCTTCATCTGCCTTGCCTCCCAGTCAAGACCTGCTTTCTCTTCCAGCCCGGAGTCTTTGGCAAATGGCTCAGAAGATACAGTCTTGCTTGTCAGTGCTTGTTGTACTGGAGAAAACTGTCTAACATTGGAGACACGAACATTGGCCACCAGGAACCAAATCACCCAAAAGCCAGCTAGTCAAGTTTCCCTTCTCCAGCTGAAGCTACCATTAGTCTAACATACTGCCTTAGGTATCCTGCGAATGCCTGTAGCTTGAGTAGGTCCCAGGGGTGTTTGTACTTGGAGGGAGTTGAGGGAGGTGGGAGGAGAGTGAGTGGTGCTATAGTCATGAAACTACTACCCTGTCTCCTGGGCTCGGGCCTCCAAGGATGTGAGGTAAATGCAGGTTGTAAGCTGGACAGCTATTGACTATGGCCCACAATAGGGCTGAGGTAGCTTGAGGAAAAGGAAAATTTTGGACTCTTAGTGCTGTTTCTGTGCCTGTTCTTCATTTTGGAGACCCAGGAGTGCTTTGACCAGGGCAGCGTTGGAAGATTCACTCAGAAGCTCAGTTGGGTATAGTTTTATTGTCCATATCAATAGTGAGCACAAATAAAAAACCACCACCTGATCACTCTGCCACCACGCGTCAGGGAGGAGAAAAGCCCCTTGGCTCCAGGAGGAGCTTGGTTTCAGGCTCTCCATATAGCAGGGAGCCTGGGGGAGCTGTGTCGCCAACTCTGGGGAAGTTTCAGAGCTGAGTCCAGAGCAATAACACGGCCAGTGTCCCAGCCCCACAGTATCCCGTGCCACAGCATCCTGCTCCAACCCTATGACTCGGATTCTTTGGTCCTTTAACACGTAGCTGCCTCTTCTCACAGGACTTGTTCCCATGGGGCTCCAAGTCCTTGCTTGGTCCGCACCGTTATTATGGTCTCTCATTTACACATCGCAGCTTGCTTCTGGCTCCAAATGAGAATGTGATAACCTAGAATGAATAACACCAGTCTGACTCACCTTCTGTTATCAGTCTCTCAGAGCTCGGGGCTGGCCCAGGGAGCCTAGAACTTGGTAAGGAAATACCAGGGAATTGGACAACAGCCAGGCATTACCTCCAGACCAAACAAGGTTGGAGGGCCTAGTCCAAATAGACCACTGTCTCCTGGTTATCTCCTTCTCTGACTGCTACCTTAGGTGAATGTGGCAGGGCTAAGCTGAGGTTAGCTTGCACTGGACCTTGGGAAATAGTGTCAGGCTTGAGATACAACCTACTTCACTCACCCATCACAGAGGCCAGTGTGTCCCCCATAGGATTGAACTCATTGAGCTGCAGAGACAAAGGGATAAGCATGACGAGGAGGTGAAGGTATTATTTCTGGTCATTTTTGGTCAATAAGGTAGGTTGGCTCCCTGCTTCCTCCCATCATTTGAGGGCCCAAGCCTCACCGAAATGATGCCAGAAGATTCTTCATCATAGAGCTGATGCATTAACTTCCCTGAGCTTCCATCAAACACATCGATTGTCCTTAATTCATGGGGGGAACAACTTTTGAAATTAGGATCTGGGTATCTGCCCACAACAATGAGGTTGTACCGTGGATGCCAGGATGCCTAGGAGATGGAAAGGCTGGTCATGAGAGTAGATGCAGAATGCTAACAAGACGGTTCATAAGTATTCTTTGCCATTAAGAATTGTTAATACAGTTATCAATGATTTAATAATGGAGATAAGATCTATATGAAAATACAAGAATAGTTTTCAATTGCATATACATCTACCAATGTAAATTTTAAACTCCCAGCTGGCCCCTCTGCCCCTTAGAACACCACACCTTCAAGCCTCTCTTGCATTTGCTGAGATCATATCAACTGACAAATGTTTTTACATCAGCCTGATGCAGACATTAACCAAAGAGTAAAACCTACAACAAAGGAACAAGTTTCTGGTAACCAAAACCAAATCAGACATATGTTCTGCAGTAACCACACTACTATCTATCTCTCCTATCAACTTGAATGGCAAAGAGTTGAGTAGAAAATGCTAGTGTCTGAAAAGAGAAGGAAACCTGTTGCTTCCCAGATTATCCCTCTCACAACAAATCTGGTAGTTATTGGGATGACAGATTGGATGGAATTTTCCAAAGAAACTTCTCACAGAAGTTCTGAAGGAGGAAAGACATGATGAGCAGGAAGGAAGAAGGGGTACATGCAAAGGCTTAGAAATAAGTCACAAACCAGTCACACCTGGGAAGCTGTAGTTGGCTTACTGGATACAAAGTGAAGATGATAATGGGCATATAAGCCGGTGAAGGATCTTGATGCCATTAGAACCTGGATTTGATTTGCGGTACATGGGGCCACCTAATACTAAATCATCATTGTTTACTGAGTAGGCATGGTGTCATATGCTCCAAGTGTACTGATTCAGTCTCACAGCAACCCCGTCAGTTAGAAACCATTATTCCGTTTATAGACGCAAACTGGAATCTAAAATGAAAGTAATTTCCCCAAGATTCTAACCCAGAGGGGTCTGTCTGCCAGGAGCTGGTGCCCCTCACCATTGACCGAAGTACCGGCACGAAACCTGGAGATTTGAAGAGAGGCTTCGTAGGGGCTTGGGCAGGAAGGAATCACAGGATTTGAAGATTGTAAGCCTTGGGTACTGAGGCTAGAGAAGCTGCTAAAAAAGCTAAGGATCACTTGTAGATCAACCACGGAACAAACTGAAGGCAGAAGGTCAAGATTTTAGAAAATGCCGTCTGAGGAGATCAGGGCTGGATTGAGAAAACTTAGGAAAATAGCTTATCAGAGAGACAAAAGAAAACCCAGTAAGCTGGGATTGCAGAAGTGGGTAAACGGAGCAGAGAGAACCAGGGGATGCGTGACTACTTTGTGTCAGGGCAGGAAGAGATCTGGGAGGAAAGGCTTCTGTAACCTGTCCTCCCCTGCACCCTCCCTTGGGCAGACCTGTCTCCACGATCACAGTGCTTTACTCCATCACTTACCTTGATAGGTGTCAGGTGCTGGAAGTGGCGGTGAGGATGTGGGATCAGGCTTGGGGGGCTGTCCCACTGGGAGGCAGAGTAAACTCGGATTTCACTCTTCTGGTCGGTGGTCAGGAGCTGGGCTCCATCGGGACTGAAATGAGCTGGCAAATGACAAGTCCCTGAGCTGAAGGGCCTTCTCTTGCAGGGACGCCTCCCTCCCACTCCCCTACAAACAGTACTGGAAGGGAGGTGGTGCATCTGGGCTCTGAACAAAAACATTCTAGAACTCAACAGCTGGTGAGGACAGCTGGATTCAGAAAGGTTGGCCGTCAGGGGTAAAGGTTTGACCTAGCGGCTTCTAAACTTTGAGGGCAAAGCCCAGGAGCGACGGGGCAGGTAGGGTCTGCAGGAGGGATGAGGTTTATCACACCTGCGTTGACAGGATGACTGTGTGGCAGTGAGTAGAGGAAGCTGGATTTCCCTTTAACCTGGCGCAGGTCCCAGATTTTCACTGTTTGATCTACAGAGGCTGTGGCCAGGAACCAATCACAGCACGGGTTCAGGGCCGCATGGGTCACTTTCTTTTTGTGCATTCTCAGATTCCAAAGCTGCAGAGAAAGGCGGTTCAGGTGGGGGCAGAGACAAGGGAGGGGTAGGGAGGACCAGCCTCTGAGAACGCACCTCCCTGCCGTCCATGTTCAGCAGAAACACGTTCCCCACATTGTCTCCTGTGACCACCACTCGGCTTTTCCCAGACACATCCAGGCTGCAAAACCAGAAGCTGGAGGGAGAGACCTTGCTGTAAGGTTCTTGGGGACAGAGGCAAGGTCCATGTATATTTTAAAAAATATATTTTTATTGATTTCAGAGAGGAAGGGGGAGGGAGAGAAAGATAGAAGCATCAGTGATGAGAGAGAATCATTGATTGGTGAGCCTGCAACCCAGCCATGTGCCCTGACTGGGAATCGAACCTGTGACCTTCTGGTTCATAGGTCGACGCTCAACCACTGAGCCATGCCAGCCAGGTGCAATGTCCATTTAGTCATGATGTAGCTCCAGCGTCTAACACACAGAGATATTCAATAAATACTTGTTGAATGAATGAATACTATCTTGCCATGGACTTCCAGTGAGGAACAGACTTGTCTACCATCCAGATAAGAGGTTATGGGGTTGGTGAGGCTCAGAAATCTGATGATTTTCAGCTAGTATGAGTCCCTGAAGCAGCTGACCTCAGAGCTATATGACAAACCCCCAGGTTAGCTTGCCCCACCCAGTCCTGGGTTCTGCGGAAGACTCCTTGGTGGTTCTCTCCCTTTACTCTCCACCTGTTGAGTCAAAGGAGGTGACAAACCATCAGGCTGCCTAACTTTGTTCCTCAGAGCTGGCTGGAAGGGATCTTCTGCCCCCTTCTGAGCATTTAGGGGGAAAAGCACACACAATCCAGAAGCTGTTTGGCTCCTGTCCCTCAGACTTCTTGAAGACGAAGGAGATGGAGAGGGGGTGCTTCAGGGATCCCGATAGCCAGGAGAGCTCAGATTTTTGTCTTTTCTCTCAAACCTCCAAATCTCTGCCCTACCGCCTTTTGCATTCCCTGTAAATCTCTTCCAGAGGAAGAGTTTCTTGTGGAAGAGAAACCTAGAGCTGTGCTATCCTGTCCACTGTCCTGACAACTCATGAGATTCTTACTCGTGTGAGGCAGTCCAGGATAACATCCAGGGCTGGTTAGACCCCGCCCCCCCTCAGTTCTTTAGGGAGCAGGATCATGTCTCTGGCCACAAATCAAAGTTACAAGCATTCTGTAGTTTCTACAACCATTTGCTCTTGGAAAGTCCAAAGTGCTTTATGGACACGATTCTATCCATTTAAGCTTCCTGGAACTGGTCAGGTCATCACACCCCAGTGGATGTAGGGAATACAATTTAAGTTCTTATTTCCTGCTCCAGGCTTTTAAGTGGCTTATTCTAGGGCAATGCCAGCTTGACTTGTCCGGTGAGAATCAAGGTTCCACCCGATACAGGAATGACTTACAGACTAGCCAAAGCCCTTCCCTTGTGGAGAAGAGTGAGGCTCCAGAACTCCCCAATTAGTAACCCACCTGGACCAGAGGAAGCAGCTAAAGAGTTTGAGATGGTGGAGCGTGGCTAACACCTTTCCTGACTTCCCTGTGATAGAAGAACTGGGACCTGGATGCTCTCACCAGAACTACACCGAGAGCCTAAGAGCCCTTTCCCCTTGTTAACTACTCACTTGCACGTGTCATAGCTGGCGTAAACTTGGAGAGTGTTGCCTTTAAAGTCTTGCAGCCTAGTGGTTCCCTCCATGGAGGAGGTGAAAAACTGGTTGGTATTGAGAGGGTTAAACTTCAGCCCAGTGATGCTGCCTCCAGCTCCAATCTAACACAGGGAGAGAAAAGCCAGTGAGTGACGATGGCCCAGGAGGAGGAGGAGGAGGCCTGGTGCACATACTCTGCCCAGGCAGGCAGCATTTGGGGCCAGGCCAGTTTACATGCCTAGACCCCGGGACGCTCTCCACAGAGCTCTTTGTTTCTTGAAATTTTGGTTTTTGTTGTTGTTTTTAAAATATATTTGTACTGATTTCAGAGAGAAAGGGAGGAGAGATAAAAACATCAATGGTGAAAAAGAATCACTGATCAGCTGCCTCCTGCACACCCCCCTACTGGGGACCGAGCCTGCAACCCGGGCATGTGCCCTTGACGGGAATCAAACCCTGGAACCTTCAGTCTGCAGGCTGACACTCTTATCCACCGAGCCAAATCAGCTAGGCAAGTTTTCGTTTTCATTTTATTTAAAAAATTAACATATAGTAAATTTGGTAGTTTTGGTTATAAAGTTGTATGAATTTTAACACGTGTATAGACTTGAATAACCACTGCCAAAATCAGGATGCAGAACAGTTCTGCTACCCTCCAAACTTCCTCATGTTCTCCCTTTGTAGTTATACCTGCCCCCACCTCTAACCGCTGACGACCACTGATCTGTTCTTCATCACTGGTTTTTGCCTTTGATAGACTGTCATATAACTGATCACACAGCATGCAACCTTTTGAGACTATCTGCTTTCCTTTTATCAGCATGATGCCCCCCGAGATTCATCCAAGTTGCTGTGTGTATCTATAGCTGGTTCTGTCTTATCGCTGAGTACTCCATTGTGTGGATGTACCACAGTTTACCACAGTGTTCTTTTTAGAAGAACTTCTGCCCAGAAGAGTGGCTGGGTTAGGAGGGCAGGAGACAGATCTGAGCTCCTTCCTATTTTTTCCAAACATCCCAGATAATGGTGATGAAAATAATCATGTAAACATCAATAACTTAATGTTATTAAGTCCTTATTATGCATCAGGCACTGTTTTATGAATTTTACATCCCCGAGAGTCCCTTCTCCACTTCTTCCTTGTGCTACTATTCCGGCCTCATGGGCCTCTTACCCAACAACCACTCCCCTCACTCAACATGCTAACTGGCACTTGCCATTCCCTCTATAAACATCCTGACTGATGCCCATGGTCTGACAAACTCTTGCTGCTAATAAGATAATCTTCTGCTACCATCAGTTGAGGCCAGCACTTACATGGGTTAGTCGTATTTGTTCTTAAGCCTGTATATGCCAGTTTTACTTTTTATTATAATGATATAATGCAATTAAACATATAATTTAATCACAAATAATTTATTAAACATGTAATTAAATATTTAAACTAAACATTTGAACATTCAATTAAACATGTAATTTAATTAAACTGATGAAGTACATGTAAAAAGAAAGACCATTGTTATTTCTATGAAATTATATTGAATGCTTTGGGAAAATTAGATAAAAATGAGTTGCTAAAAATAACAGTTGTCATGGGTGAGAAACTTATAAACAATTAGGGTGGGAAATAATAAAAATTTCCAAAGAATCTGCAATCAGGTTGCTTCAGGACTATCTTTGAATTATGTTTCTACTTTAGACCATATATAGAATACATTATGTGTGCAGTTTATGTAAGACCAGGTACACCGTAATCAGTGACCCTTATTCCAGGAAAAGAATAGGCCCTATATCAAAGCATTAGTAACAAACACACACATACACATTTTAAATTAAAGTGCATGAGTGGCCGGAACTGGTTTGGCTCAGTAGATAGAACATCAGTCTGTGGACTGAGGGATTCTGGGTTTGGTTCTAGTCAGGGGGCACATACATTGGTTGCGGGGCTGTGCGGGAGGTGGCTGACTGATGTTTCTCTCTCATTGTTTCTAGCTCTCTATCCCTCTTCCTTCCTCTCTATAAAAAGTCAATAAAATATATTTTTAAAAAATGCATGAGTGTTCTCTTAGCAAGTGTGGACTATGTGGTTTGACTAATTTTTACACTAAGGAAGAATAACAAAACCTGGACAAAATATGAAAAAGAAATATATTTGAGGCTTCCAACTACAGTGATGGTAGGTTAGCTTGTATGTGGCCAACCTTCTTCTGAGAATAACTAGGAAAGGTAGATAAAACGTGTATTTAAAGAATGTAAAGTGATGCAGTCACTTTAGAAAATAGCTTAACAGTTCTTCAAAAATTATCCCAGCCACAGCTCAGTGGTTGAGCATTGACCTATGAACTAGGAGGTCACGGTTCAATTCAAGTCAGGGCACAATTCAAGTCGATCCCCAGTAGGAGGCAGCCGATCGGTGATTCTCTCTTATCATTGATGTTTCTTTCTGTCTCCCTCTCCCTCTCTGAAATCAATAAAAATATATTTTTTTAAAACCACTAAACATAGTTACCATATGACCCAGCAATTCTACATCTAGATATATATCCAAGATACATAAATACATATGTTCATGTAAAAGGTCATACACAAATATTCATAGCAGCATTATTTGTAATAAAAGAAAGGTGAAAAATCAACATCCATCAAACATCCATCTCAAGAAGTTGTAAAACTCAAACATCCATCTCTAGAAGTTATAAAACTAATAAGAAAGTGGAAAAAAACCCACACCAGAATTAATTAAACAAAACAAATATACTGGGGAAAGACAACACAGCCAAAAGTTGGTTCCATAAAAAGACCAATAAAATTGATATGCCACTGGTAAAACTGACCAAACAAATGAGAAAGCACAAGTAATTTAATAAGTGTTAAAAGAGACATCAGACACTTTAAAAATTAGAGAATCGTAAATAATTTTATGCCAATGAATTTGAAAATTTAGATGAAATGAGCGAATTCCTAGAAAAAAAATTTGCTAAAATGACAGAAGATGAAAGAGAAAATCTGAATAGTCTGATATCTACTAAAGAAATTAAATTCACAACTAAAAACTTTCTTGCAAAGTAAATTCTAGATTCTGGTGGTTTCACTGAAGAACATACTAAATATTTAAGAAAAAAATAATTTCTTTTTGAAAATATATTTTCAAACTATCTCAAATTCAGAGAAAGTTGTAAGACTAGCACAAAGAACTGTTTTTCTGAAACCATTTGATAATAAATTGGCAGCATGATGTCTCATTCATCCTCAAAAATACTTTACTATATACAAGGTGAGGCAAAAATAGGTTTACTGTTGTTCGTATGGGAAATAATACAATAATTAAGAAATAATTAGTGACCCTTACTCCAGAAAATGCAAAAATAAACTGTTTTGCATACTCACAACTACAAACCTACTTTTACCACACTGTATTTCCCACAAGAACATTCTCCTACATAACCGCAATAAGACTATCAAAACTTAGAGGTTTCTTAAGTAGTTCAAACTCATAGAAACAGAAAGAATTGTGGTTGTCAAGGGCTGGGGAGCAGGGGAAGTGGAAATGGTTTTTAAATGAGTATACAGTTTCAGTTTTACTGAAAGTTCTAGAGATTTCTTGCACAATAATGTCAATATAATTAACACTACTGAACTGTATATTTAAAAATGATTCCTATGATAAATTTTAAGTTACGTGCTTTTACCACAGTTTTTAAAAGGAGCAGTATTACTTGTTAGAGATATAACTATAATTGTAAAAAAGTAAAAAATAAAAATATTTAAGTAAAAAACGAAATCTATAAAAGTGTATATGCTAATTAGACCGGTCGTCCTTCCAGACGTCCTTCTGGATGATCTTCCAGACAAAGCCAGTACTGTGAGGGAAGCCCGGGTCCCAGGGGCCTGCTGGCAGCCCGAGGGAAGCCCGGCTCCCAGGGGCCTGCTGGCAGCCTGAGGGAAGCCCGGCTCCCAGGGGCCTGCTGGCAGCTAAGGGAAGTCCGGGTCCCAGGGGCCTGCTTGGCAGCCTGAGGGAAGCCGGGGTCCTGGGTGCCAGAGAGAAGCTGGTGCCTGTAGCTGGGGGAAGGAAGGCCTACTCTTGCATGAATTTCATGCATCAGGCCTCTAGTATAAGTAATAAATCAAAACAACCAAACAATCAATTTAGTTTATCACATTAACAGAATAAAAGGGGAAAATCATATGCTTACTGACATCAATAAAATAAATATATAAAAATCAATAAAATAAATATATAAAAAAATAAAAATAAAATAAAATTCTAGAAAATACAAATTAATGAATAGGAATAGAAAGCAGATCAATGGTTTTTAGGGGACATGAAAGAAGGAAGATTACAAAGGGGCATAAGAAAATTTTAGGAATTTGGCTGGAGTGTGAATCTATGAACCAGAAGGTCCTGGTTTGATTCCTGGTCAGGACATATGCCCAGATTTCAGGCTTGATCCCCAGTGAGTGGAGTGCAGGAAGCAGCTGATGATTGATGTTTTCCTCTCTCATCATTGATGTTTCCCTCTCTCCATCTTGAAATCAATAAAAATATTTTAAAAAAAGAAAACTTTAGGAGTGATGGGTATACAATAATGTAAGTAGAAATATGAGTGTGTGAATAATGTATACCTATACAGAAAGATGTACAAAGTGGGAATATCAGGTAATAATTATTTGATTCTTTATACTTTCCTCTGTATTGTTTGAATTTCTTATGATGAACATCAATCATTTTTATAATGAGAATAAAATTTATCTTCATTTTGAAAGTATAATACATGTTCCCTTCCCAAGGGTCTGAAAGATGTAAAGATGAAAGTCAAGGTCAGATGACTAAAGAAGTAACTATATGAGGCACTACAGTTCCCGCAGCCACTGGTCTCAAATCAACTTTCTGTTGTCAGTATCTGAGAATAAAAACAGAGTTTTCCAGACCACCATACCCTTCTTTGCCAACCTGCTAGTCAAAGTTCAAATGTCCAGACCAATCTCCACAATGGTGTGAGGAAACTTGACTTAAAGGCACATTATAATAAAGGGAGATATAAACAAAAAGCCTTGGCAAGTTCAAGACAATTGTCATTCCGTTTTGGTTGGGAGGCTCTTCCCCTAGGATACCTTTAGGTTACGTATTAGTTTTCTCTATTCCCTGGATTTCTATAAAAATATAAATCTCTTCCTGCCTGAGCTTTGGCTCTGACTTTAATTTAAAGCTGCCCTTCCCAGTCCTATCTCACCAGCTGGGCAGGAAGACCTCTGAGCACTATCCACAACTTCTTCTGACTTTGTCACGTTTTCTTCAACATCCATCTCGTACCTTGCATCCTAATCTCCCAAGCCTGTCTAACCTGGCTGTTTCCAATGGACTGCTTTAACTCTTCATGTAAGAGAGTTCATTTTGGATTAATCTTTGGCCTCTTCTATCTCCAAATCAGAGATGGAAAATGGTGAGCTGAAGAGGAATTCAGTTCACAGATGTGTTTTGTTTAGCAAAAGAGCATGCTTAGTTTTATTTGGTTCCTAACATGAAAAATCAGGATGTTTTAAATTGAAACCCTTGTGTACTATTGGTGGGAATATAAAATGATGCTGACACAACTTTTAACAGTATGGCAGTTCCTCAAAAAATTAAAAATAGAGTTACCGTATGATTCAGTAATTCCACTCCTGAGTATATACCCAAAAGAACTGAAAGCAGGGACTCAAGAGAGGTATTTGTACACCCCCATGCATAGCTACATTATTCACATAGCTAAAATATGGGAGCAATCCAAGTGTCCATTGAGAGATGAACAGATAAGCTAAATGTGGTAAACACATACAGTAGAATATTATTCAGCCTTAAAAAGGAAGGAAATTCTGACACATACTGCACCATGGACAAACCTTGAGGACATCATGCTAGTTAAGTAAGCCAGTCACAAAAGGAAAAATATTGTATGATTTCACTTATATGACATACTCGGAATAGTCAAAATCATAGAGACAGAAAGTAGAATGCTGGTTGCCAGGGGCTGGGGAATGGAAGAATGGAGAATGTTTAATGGGTATAGAGTTTCAGATTTAAAGATGAAAAGTTCTAGAGAAAGTGAATGTACTTAATGCCAGATTAACTGTGCACTTAAAAACAGATTAAATCCTAAATATTGTTGCATGTATTTCACCACAATTTAAAAATATTAGAACATTTCATGTAATTAACCAGGACTTTAGGCTACTAAAAAAAAATCAGATCTGATACCATGGGACCTAGATTCTTACATGTCAACTATCTCCAGTTTATCACTGACCCTACCACTGAACATCATTCTTTTATCTGTTTAGCTTCTTTAGTCATGTGAGTTTGTGGTTTTTGCTCTAAACTAGAGCATCACTCTTCTAGTGCAGCCCAGAATCCAGCTGGACAAGCTAAGGGTCCTCTCTTTGGTGGAAGGGCCAACACTCCCACCTCTCGCTGACATACCAGCTTGATCAAGACCATCCCTGAAAAACTATCCCAAACACACTCTACCTTTCCTCCTTTCATCTCCATTTATGTAAATGTTGTTCTTCCTCACTCTTCACTCAACCATGAAGCCTTCTCTATAGGCCCTAATTTGAAAGAGGTTCTTCCTTCTCTCATGTTCTATAACATTTAGCAGCCGTAGTGCTAGTTATTGTGTCTGTCTACATCCTATCTACCCAGCTACGTATCAAGCCCCTCACTCATTCAAAAATACAAAGCAGCTACTCTAGGCCAAACATCGTTCTCAGCACTGGGGACAAAGAGGTGGACCAGAAAGACAAGATCCCTGCCATTGTGGAGCTTACTTTCCAGCGGGCAAAGGTAATAAATAGGTAGCATATTTCAGATATTAATAAACATCGTGGGGGAAAAGTGAAACAGGGAGATATGGAGTGAGTGGATGGCATGGAGGCTACTTTAGACAGAGTACTCTTTGAAGAAGTGTATTGAGCTCAGACCTGAATAATAAGGGAGAACCAGCCAGGAGAAGACCATGAGAAAGAGTACTCCAGCCAATGGGAACAGCAAATGCCAAGACCCAGTTTCAGGAACAGACCCAGTGTGGCTAAAGTATAGGAAGTGAGGGGATACAGCAGTACAGGCTGAGGTCAAGAGTTATTAGCAGTCTTAGATTCTATTCTATGTGATGACTTACTAGAGGGTGATCAGTACTTTATACCTTCTACTATCTTAAGGGCAGGCACTCAATAAAAAATTGAGTATCATCATTTACTTGTTCCCAATCATTTCCTTTTTTATTGGTTGACTTTTCATTCCTTCAACACTTCTTCAGCACAGTTATCTGGCACAGGGACTGCTCACCCCTTTAATGAAGGTGGGTTTGTCCTTTAAGCCCAAGTTCCAGAGCATGATATCTCCCCCTTTGGAACCCACGGCCAGGGTGCTGGGGTGAGTTGGGTGCCATGTCAAGGATGTGGCCCTCCTGTCAAAAGGGGCAGCCTTTTGGAATATCTGGTAAGAAGCCAGAGAGTGCAAAAAGGACTGCTGGAGACCCTGAGAAAGAGAGAAAAATAATTAAGTTGAATTAAAACCCAAGTCCTAGGTAATCTGCCAATCTTTGCCTCCATAGATGAGTCCTAGGGCCAAGTCCTCCCACCAAAGGAAAATGAACTGCCTGGCTCTGTGCGTGAAATATTTGTAATATACATGAACTAATCTTAGAAAGCAAGAGGCAGAGTGCATTCCAGCTGGGACCTTTACGTATAGCTGGAATGAGTGCCCATAGGCCAGATACCAAGGCAAGGGTGCTATAACCTCCCGGTGAACCTACTCAGCATCTAATTTTGAAGAACCCAGTTGTAAAAAAGCACCATGCAAACCCTTGTGCACTCCATTCAGCCAGGAAATGCCTCACCTTCTGTAGTGATGGCCAGTCGGTTCTGCCCAGCTTATGCTGATGGAGGGCCCTGACGATGCTCCCGCATGGTGGTGGGACCTGCAAGCTAGTCAACTTCTCCCAAAGGCAGCCTGAGTCAAGTCTTCTGCTACAACCTGCCAAGTATAACATAGATATTTTCCTCTCTAATCTTAAGAAAGGTTTTTGGTTTTTTTTTTGCTGAAATCCTGAAAAGAAAGCCTTGTTGTTTCATTTGGCATAGCCAATCTCTTCCATCATCTCCTAAGGCCTTCCCATGGTCTGCTCAGTCTCACTCAGCGCAAGAAATAAACAGGGAACAGGGAATCGCCCCCTTCCCCAGAATAGTTATTCTGAAATGAAACTAAAGGTGATTTTGCCAGGTTTCTGAGAGCTGAGCCAAAGAAACAAAAACAAAGTGTATGCAGAACTCTTCGTAGTTTGGTTTGGAAAACTTGTGATAAGGTTGGGTGACAATTTTAAAATCACATATATTGTGTAATAAAAAAAAAATGTAATAATTTTTGTACAGCAAAGAAATTTTAAGGAAAGAAGTATCTTTAAGTCCTATATTAAAATAATGTAGAGGCCGAGATCGGTTTAGCTCAATGGATAGAGCCTCGGCTTGGGGACTGAAAGGTCCCGGGTTCGATTCTGGTCAAGGACATGTACCTTGGTTGCGGGCACATCCCCAGTGGGGGGGGTGCAAAAGGCAGCTGATCGATGACGCTCTCTCATCGATGTTTCTAACTCTCTGTCTCTCTCCCTTCCTCTCTGTACAAAATCAATAAAATATATATTAATAAATAAATAAAATAAAATAAAATAATGTAGAGGAACCAGTTGTTGGCCCAAGTCCAATCTGTTCTGGAAACCAGCAGATCTAGCGCATATGACATGGCTGTAAAGTACCTAGTCTACTTCGGGAGAGGCAAATCCACTGAAATCAGGAACAAAGCAACCCTGGGTTATCAAGATGTATTTGAGAATCTGATCTCTATGAATCCCGCCACTTGACAACCAATTCTTTTTTTCTCCTAGACAAAAAAATCCACTTCATCAACAACCCCCTGCTCCAGTTTTTGAGTTCCCCCACTCTCCTTATAGCCCTAGGTTCAATCCCCAACAAACCTCTCAAAGTGCTAAGGAAATTGAGGGCTCTCACAGCTAAAACTAAGGACCTACAGTTACACATACCACCAGGCAAGGGGGGATTATTTTAAGCAGTCCTCAGTGGGTAAAAATCCTGGTACAGCCCTCACCGGTTTGGCTCAGTGGATAGAGCGCCAGCCTGTGGACTGAAGGGTCCCAGGTTTGCTTTCGGGCAAGAGCATTTACCTTGGTTGCAGGCATATCCCCAGTAGGGGGCGTGCAAGGAGGCAGCTGATCCATGTTTCTAATTCTCTATCTCTCTGCCTATCTCTGTAAAAAAGTCAATAAAAATATTTTTTAAAGAAAATCCCGGTACAAAGAAGGAATTTGAAAAGTCTGTGTGTCTTATGTAATGGAACTCATCTGCCTCTTCTTGCCACCGGAGGGAGGTTAAGCCCAAACTCTATGGCGTCAAAGGATCCGCAGATGCACAGCTTGAGGCACCAGAAAATGTGGGCAGCCTCGGCCACTTAGAAGCCCCCATCCCCCGCTCCAGCCTCCTGCGTGAGAACCCCAAACGGCGGCGGAACGATAAAAGCAGCAGGCGCGCAGTACCGGGGCCCTTCACACAGAGCTTCTTGGCCTCGGGCTCCGGCTCTCGGGCGCTCCTGCTCTTCTTGCTCTTGGGGCACAAAACCGCCTCGAAGGGCTTCCGGGTTTCTGGGCGCTTCTTGGGGGCCATCGCGTCCTCCGTGCAAAGCGGTACAACGCCGCACGCCGAGATTGCGGAGGAAAGACAGAGAAGCCTCTGGGGAGAAACAGGGCGGGGAGCAGGGACCGGGTCCAACTTCCCGCCAAACAAGCCAACTTCCCGCCTAACAGGCTCCCGGCTCCCAACTTCCTTCTAGTTCCGGCCCCAGCCCCGCCCCTCTCGGCCTCTCCCGGGAAGGTGGAGGCGCGCGCGCGCGGAGAGATGGGAAGGAAGTGTGTGAGGGGTGGGGCTCTGGGGCTCCCTAAAGAAACGCGCTATTGCCTACGAATTGGCTCTGATCTAGGCCCCGCCCGCGGACTTCCCAGGAATAAAGATGGCCGCCTGGGCGAGGCCACCCAATTTGAAGCCTCTTCGGACGCGACGCTGCCAGGCCTCCGCGGGGCCTCAGGCGACCACACGTCAATCAAAGATTAGGCCCCGCCTTCTCTGTCTTTTAATTGGCGGTCACGCCGCTCGGGCTCTGCCATTGGCTGATCCGTACAGGAGAAAAAAAACGGCTCTGTAGGAAACTAGCGACTTCGCTGCGGGTCGGTGTGGAGTGCTTACATCCCTCTAGCTGAGCGGGATCCCTTTCCCTGTGGAGAGCGGTTGAAATGCGCGGCTTTCCCCAAACCTGCGGAGTGTCCGCCTAGGGAGCAGCTGGAGCCAAGATGCGCTGGAGGCCGTACTGGCCAACCCGGCTTAGAGGTCTTAATGTCCTGACTTCAGCCAAATGCCAAGGCAGTGAGCCTTAGGGGGGGACGTCCCGCCTGGCCATCTCGAGAGGAGACAGTTTGGATGCACCCCCACTTTCTGCGACGAGCCAGGTTGGAGCTGGGCTTAGTCTGGGACTGCTGGACCTCTCCTTCCACCCGCCAAGCCTGGTGCCAGGCGCTTTGAGAAGACGAGAGGAGACAAATGCTTTGAAACTATAGAGCCTGCACTGAAGAACAAGTAGGGATGGAAGACATTTCAAAATATTACTTTGGGAAAGAAATGAATGCTTCGGAAGAAAAATTCGAAAGTGCTGTTTTGATGGGAAGATAAACCACTAGCAGGGCAAGTTGGTTTCGTCTCCCCTGCTGGCTTGTAGCTGTGTTTTCAGAGCTGTGTTACAAAAACAACATGGCCCCCCTTTACTCAGATAAAGCCTTTAGTTTCACCTCAGTAGGATGTTCATTTCAGGGGGGGGGGGGGTTGCTGGAGGGAGAGATACTGAAATATAAGAGATGACTAGGCTCCTAAAAGGTTTACAACGCATGAAGAGAAGAAAAATACTTGTGAAACAAATCAAGCAATTCAAGACAGAACACAGTTGAGTACTAAATTGTGGCATGCCAACCAAGATTTGCAATCAGAAAATAATTGAATGGAGAAATAAGCATTTAAGAAACTCTCAGAGGGACATTGGGGTTTCAAGGAGTTGGCTGGGGGAAGGAGAAGAGAATTCCCATCCTCTGTTTCAATGAGCAGTAAATTCTTAAGTTCAACTGTGTACAGGAGTGTCCCTAATGGTGTTTGGCTTGAAAGCTTTGATATTTATGAATAAGGTCGGAGGCAGCCTGTAGGGGAGAAAATTGATCACATTGAGAATCTGCAAAGTAAGAAAGGCCAATAAAGGGGCAAGTTGAATGGCAGGCAGAAGAATTTAAATTTCATGCATTCTACTGACATCAGAAACCTACTCTGTTCCTGGCACTATTTCAGTCAAAGAGAATGCTGAAATTAAAAATGCTCTTTGGACTGAACATAAACTGTGCACCTATGGATGAGGACAATGAGGGGTGGGGAAAGGGCAGAGGGTGGGGTGGGAACCTGGTGGAGGGGAGCAATGGAGGGGAAAAAAAATGAGGAACATTTGTAATAATATGAACAATAAAGATTTACTTTAAAAAATTTTTTTAAAAATGCTCTTTGCCCCCATGGAGTGTGCCTTTTAACAGACAAGTAACCTAAATTGTTAATGGTGAATGGCACCAGATGTTAGACCATGGTCCTTGAATTTTAGCTGAGACAGAATTCAGAGCCAAGACTCAAATACAAGCAAAAGTTTATTTGAAAAGTCACAGAGGTAGAACAAGTGAGCCGTGGAAGAAGTGAGCCAGCTGGGCTGTATGGGCTCAGAAAAACAAGTTACAGAGGTAAAAGAAGGGCCCTTGGAGTTTAGAAGAAAAAGGCAAAGAAAACCCATCTGGGGAAAGAGAAGAGGAAAAGTGAGGGCATGCTCAGGGTTTGGGAGGGAGAGCACTGAATTCTTTGAGGATTTTTACCTGCTTTTCAAAGGTAGGGATTTCAGGGGAGGATCTCAATCAAATATTCATCAAGTTTTCAGAAAATTGATCACATTGAGAATCTGCAAAGTAAGAAAGGCCAATAAAGGGGCAAGTTGAATGGCAGGCAGAAGAATTTAAATTTCATGCATTCTACTGACATCAGAAACCTACTCTGTTCCCCTCAAGGTCATAGTCTGCACTGATAGTTACCCCAGCTGGTCCTTATGTCAGCCAAGGCGTCACCCTGGCTGGCTTTGCTGCTTTTCTGGGCCCGGAGCTGAAACACAAGGAAGGCCTAGATGTTATCTTTAGGTTGACCAAAACTCTGTCTGTCGTCAACAGACTCGAGGCTTCGTTCTTAAGATTTTTTGATGCAGGTCAGAACCTCATTGTACTGAGGGCTTAATGCTTAAGAACGTGGTCATGCAAGGGCTTGTATGGGAGTCCCTACTTCCTCCTCTGAGGGACTCTATGGCATGACTAGTATGCCAGGGGAGGAAAAGTTAAGGGAAGATCCAGACCTCATGACCATCGATATGAACGGTCATGGAGACAAATCCCTTGACCAATGATATGCAATTGTCCGTTGCTAGGCACCTGGGGGCTTTCAGCCCTGGTGACTTTCTGTAATTCGCCTATCGCTCCTACTCTGCTCATGCCTGTCTGACTGCCTACTGTGTCACAACTACCACAGAGTGTGATTATCATAGTGAGAGAGGGAGCTTTGGGTTTTGGTGGGATGGGGGCAGAGAGAAAAGTCACTTTAAGCTTGGAGTGACATAAAGAAGGGATAGTGTCAAGGAAGTCTTCCCAGAGGAAGCAACACTTAAACTGAATCTTGAGAGATTGAGGAAGGAGAGAGGGGAGGGAGAAATGGAAAGGCATGGAGGCAATAGTGAGCCATGATGGATTTCTGAGCAAAGAAAATGCCCTGCTTAGTGCTAGGTTTCCCCAGCATCTGTTTTTAGGAGTGGGGTGTTTTCCCTGATGGACTAAACCAACTCCATGTGGCCAGTGGAAACCTTCCTCGCCTGCTAGGAAAGACCTTTGTTTCAGGTTGTGCTTTGGGGCGTTCTTACCCTGGGTTTTGCTTTGCTTCCCCCAGAAAATAACTGTCTAGGGGCTTGATGTCATTCATTCCTATCTGGTGAGCCATCAGGTGCAGGGTGGACAAAAGCATTTAATACATTTTTTTTTTCATGCTGCTAATCAGATAATGATGTTAATGGTGCAGCATTGCTCTGGTTTCAGGCCATTGAGAGGCTGTGCCATGCAGACCAGTTTATAGATGTTTTGGTCCTGTCTGTGACACAGCCTTTGACATAAGGCCTCACAAGGCAACTCATTCAAAAGTTGCTGGTGATAGCAAATAAAGGTCTCGTGTTCACACTGGAAGCTGGGCAGACCATGAGCATGACCCTAAACAATGCCAGTTTTTTTATCAGCAAAAACAAAAGGTAGCTTAGGTGTTTTATCTGAAACAAATTATATAATACAGTGGTGCAAGAGCATTGTTCTTAGACTATGTGATCTTGGGTTCATTATTTCACTTTTCTATGTCTGCGTTTTCTCATCATAAAATCATGGAGACTGATGAGGTGGCTCAGATTTCTTTCAGCTTTAAAATCTGTGATCCTGTGACTTGCTGTTAAAGCGACAGAAACCAGTGACCGCTTTGAATTCTGGCCCTTCGGGAAATTTCCATCCACTAGGAACCATTTTCCTGGTGCAGGCTGACACACGACTCTGATCCTGATCCAGCTGTCTGTGGATCCAAACGTTCTGCTGAGACTGCACAACCACCTCTGATCCACGTGGATGGTGTGTGAGGGCTTCCCACAGAGTTACTGCATCCAGTGGTTTGCAAATGACAGCCTCAAGGATTCGGCAGAGCTTGCAGGAACTGAAGCCGAAATTCCTCCTGAAGGAAACAGCCTGAATACAGCATTCAGGGTCCTTGCTGCTTGGCATCGCCGATACATATTTAAGTGCCCAAATATAAATAAATTTGTAATAATGCTAAATGAGGGCATGGCTCCCACCCTCTGGGAATAGCACTCATTTTCAAAAATACAATTTTGGGTAGCTTTGGAAGTGTCAGACAGCTTTGTAATTACCAAAAACAAAAACAAATAAAACCTGCCTTCTGTCTATCGTGGGGGAAGAGGCACCATCTCCACACTAAATCAGCATCCTGTCGTGGAATACCGTAGGTCCAGGATGCCAGGAAACTTCTCCAAGCAGCCAGATTTTCAGGGCAGCTGCCAGAGTGCTGAAATCTTATACGTAAAAGTGCCCTGCAAACCGTAAAGTGTTCCAGAAATAGAAGTTATATTATCTCCTTGTGAAACATTATTTACTGATAAGGTCTAATAAAGGTAGTGAAGAAGCTCTTCGCTGTTCTCGGATAGTCAGATAATCATCATGGAGAGTCCAGTGAATCAAGAACCAAGAGTCAGAAACCGGGGTTTGAGTTCTGGCAGTGCCTTCTCCTCACTCTTCTGATGCCAGAGGGCTGTTCCAGGACTGCAGGAATCCCAAGTGACAAATAAAAATGGTTCCCTCTGTGTGACAGCCAAGCCAGTTCCCTACGCGTGGGTGGGTCATGTGCTAGTGGGAATGGGAGAACTACATTTGCATTCCTTCCCACTCCCCTCTTCACTGCCCTGTGTTGGCTCCTGTGCCTACTATGACATATTAATTCTAAAAACGTGTGAC